TACAAGTTACGGAGCTGCCACAGCGCCCAATGGTAGCTGTCTCCCGTCTCATCACTCAGAATAGCATATGCTATAAGGAATGTCTGATTGCAAGGGGTCATTCCAACAAACTCCACAAGAGGTAGTTTATATTTGTTTGTGTTGTATGTGGAATCTACACAAACAACCCAAGGATACGTCCGCAACAGCAACAAAAAATCTGGATGTGCGGAAAACACGTGGGATAACCTCTGTGTCTCTTCGTCGCACTCCGTGAAGATGATGTATTTGTGTTGTTCTGTGACCTCTAAAGCACTCCGTGAGATAATTTTCCAAGCAGCTGCTGCTTTCCTTGTTTGATAGCTATAGGATCCATCAATGATGATCAGAGAGTCAGAAGGCCCTTGCGGTTGGAGAACTGGAGATCTGAGGTGGATAGAGAAGGAGCTATGTCGTAGTTGCGTATTAATTGCCGCATCAGACAGGATCAAACGCCATGAAACCGCCGAATCATTAGTTTGTTGACGCCAAATCCTATCATTTCGTTCCATCCAGATTCGCCAGATGATGAGAAGAAAAAGATCCACCTCCACTTTTGTTGGATGCTGGTAAATCCAATTAATAAACCATGTATGCATAGAGTCATAGTTTGGGACAAATATTGATGCAAACCTGGGATATGCCAGGGACCAAATAGCTTGAAAGAATTCACATTGGAAGAATAAGTGAATGGCAGTCTCTTCAAAGCGTCCACAGCGAGGGCAGAGAAGATCCACTGAAACACCACGTTTAATAAGCTCTGTCCTGGTAGGCAAAGGAAGAACTTATGTTTCAATTGTACACCTGACTGCCATAGCCGTTTCCATGCCACTTTCTCGTTGAGCAATATCTCTGGGTTTTGAGCTGGCTGTGGAAGAAGTGCATTTGCTTCTCTCACTACATAGCTTCCATGTGAAGTAGAAATCCATTGGATTGCATCAAGGTGGTTCCTTCTGTCCGGATCTACAAAAATTCCCACGATCTGGGAGATGATGTGGTCTGGGAAAAATCGTCTCAAAGCATGAACTTTTGATTGTCCATTTGGATGGATGAAGTAAGCAACTTTAAGATTTGAGGCTGCCAGGACTGACTAATAACTGATTGGATTTTGCACATCATGAATCTAATTTGCAGCTATTGGTATATCTTTTTCTGACACCACTTTCCATTTTGTGTGATCCTGGATGAGTTCTGCTCCCCATAGAATACTTTTGGAACCCCAAGAGGAATTAGATGGTAGTTGCACTGGCGAAAAGACACCATTATTGCAGTACTTAGCACAAAAGAGGCGTCCTATCAGAGAATTCGGGGCTAATATTAATTTCCATGCATGTTTTGCTAAAAGAGCCTTGTTGAACTCCTTTGTTGCCTTAAGTCCTAGAACACCATGGAACGTTGATCTAGCCATTTTTTTTCCATGATCCCCAGTGTATTTTCCAATCCTGCGAGTCCCCTTTCTAGATAAAAGCCCCCATGATTTGATCTGTTTTCTTGAGGGTTTTGGCAGGCAGTCTAAATACTCCCATTAGGTATACCATCATAGAAGATAGAGTCGCCTTAGCCAAAGTTACTTTCCCAGACAAGGTCAACATGTTTGTTTTCCAGGAAGCAAATTTGCTGCTCATTCTGGATGTAAACTGTAAAAAATGGCCGTCTTTCTTTCTAAAAAATCCAGACTCATGCCTAAATATTTGTTATGGAATTGTCACATCGGGATTTTTAGTGTGGAATGAATAAAAGACTTCATTTCCTAGCTGGTATTGGAGCTAAGAAGTATAGATGACTTTTAAAAATTAATGCACTGTCCTGAAAGTTAGAGTAATTTTCCAAAAGACCCGCTAATGCCAAGATTGATGATTCCTTACATTCTAGGAAAAAAAGACTATCATCCGCATACATTAGGTGGCAAATGCGGGGTGCAAGACGGCATATTTTAATACCCAAACCTGGAAAAATGGAGATTTTTGACTTGATGGCCGATGAGAGCACCTGTTGGCACAAGATGAACAAGTATGGCGATAAAGGGCATCCTTGTCTTAAACCCTTGTCTGGGGAGAAAGGCTGCAAATTATCTCCATTAAACTGGATGGAGTACGATACTGAGGATGCACAGTGCATAATCAACGAGATGATCTTTTGGAGAAAATTGGCCTTACGTAAAACTGCCTACAGTAAAGTCCAAGAAAGACGATCATAGGTTTTGCTCATGTCAAGCTTTACAACTGCCAAACCTGTGAGTCCTTGCTTCTTCCTGATACATTCCACAACTTCATGGGCAATGATGATGTTTTCACTGATGTTCCGCCCTGGGACAAAGCCATTCTGGTTTTCATCAGTCAAATCATCCATCACCACTTTGAGGCGGTTAGTGAGAATTTTAGTGATAATCTTGCATTTAACATTACAAAGACTAATAGGTCGATAGTCATTTGGAGTCATCGGCGATGAAACCTTTGAGATAAGAGCCAATCTAGTTTGATTCCACTCAGGGGGAAAAGAAAAGGAAGTAAAAACCTCCAGATAGAATCTTATACTTCCTGACCAATTATGCCTCTGTATTGCTGATAAAAACCCACCGGCATTCCATCAGGCCCCGGAGACTTCCAAGGGGACATTTGTTTAATAGCACACCACACCTCATTTGCCGTAGAAAGAGCATCCATAGCAGTAGCTTGTTCAACGGTTAAAACTTCCTCCACATTACTCAGTAGGCTTTGGAAATGGCTGAAGGAAGGACCACTTTGAGATGCCAGATCACTAGATGTATAAATGGCAGAGAAGTGAGCATGTATCATAGATCGCAGAGAGTCAGGATCCTGGATCCAAGTTCCTTGAACATCTTGAAGTTCATTAATCCAAGTGTTGCCTTTGCGTCTTGTCGCCCATTGTGAAAGAACTTTGTGTTCCTATCACCAAATTGGTGCCAGTTTAACTTTGCTCTCTGGTGCCAATATTCTTGTTGCAAAAGCAGGGCTTCCTCCAAAGCTGACCTTCGTTGTTCTAGGTGATTTGTATGAGTTACATCATCTTTGCAAGCCTCTCACTGAGTTTGAGTTTGTGCTAGATCCTCAGTAAGTTTGAAAACCATTGATCTAATTTTTCAAACCTTGACTTACTCCAATTGTGCAGCTGGTGTAGGGTCTTATGCTACTTTAAAAAAAGAAACTGCTGTGAATCCTCAAAAGACAGAGAAGGCTGTGACCATGCTTGATTAACTAGATCCTTTGAAGAAGCACAGTGTGACCAAAATTGCTCAAACATAGGACTCTTTTTTGGTAACTTTTTTTGCCTAAGGTCTACCAAAATTGGTCTATGGTCTGAACTCATTATTGGCAAGTTTCTAATAAATGCCTTCTTAAAAGTATCCAACCAAGGTCTGTTTACAAAGGCACGGTCTAACCTTTCAAAGATCACAGCCTGACCTTGATGTTTGTTTGTCCAAGTGTACCAGCAACCAAGATACTTCAACTCTTCCAGATCATTACTGTCTAGTAATTGACGTATGGCACTAGTATCTTAAGGTCTTACTTATCGGCCTCCATACTTATCTTCTTGATCTAAGTCCTGATTAAAATCACCTAATATAATACTGGGGTAGCTAAAACCTTGGATAATGCCATTCAACTGTAACCAAAAATCAGTCCTATCCTGGATGGAAGGAGGACCGTACAGAAAGATGGCCAACCACTCAAGGCCTCAAAGTTCATGAATCCTAGCTACTATTACATTAGAATTCTGATAAAGGAGACTAAGATTAACACTACTAGTCCAGAAGAGAGCTAGTCCCCCACTGAAACCAACAGGATCAATTACAACAGAATTTACAAAAGAAGTAGATTGTTGCCAGGTCAAAATATGATCCTTGCTGGCCTTAGTCTCCATGACAAATAAGATACTAGGATTATAGTTCCTTAAAAGTCTACCTAATACATTCTTAGACGAAACATTATTCATGCCTCAGATGTGGCAACATAGTATATTCATTTCCACAGGAACTATAGTTGCAGAATTGACTGCTCCATCTTGCACATGTATCTTCCTTTCCTGATGAGGTGTTACTGCTGACATCAACCTTCCATGCTGCTGGCCAGTAGCTTCAACCTCAGTATTGACCTCCAACATCTCAGCTTCAGGCAACACCCACGCGACTTCCAGGGCCTTGAACAACTCTTCCACCTCTTTCTCAGCAATTCTATTACATGTTATATTTAAACTCGTCGATGCTATATTATATTTTATTATGTTTAGACTCGTCGACATTTTTACCGTATTTTTAACGCAAATAAGCAAGTGGTTAATTATAATCTATTTACATAAATTATAAAAAATAAATTTATAACTTCTACATTTGGATAATTGGATAACTCATGACTAATATAGTATAATCTCTTTGTCACAAAATCAGCATTCACTTTACAATTTTATTTTATAAGTAGTATTTCTTCACTTAAGAATAGGTCCAATTGTCAAAACGATCAAATTTGGAGTGCCTGCTAGAAGTATTCATTATTTGTCTTACCAACTATTCAGTTTTAGTATATTTTGAATTAAAAATAAAAATTTAAACTGAATAATCATTTTGGTACAAAGGGAATAACCGTTAAATCGAACTACAAAGCTTACAAACGTGATCATGAGAACTAAATATGTCATTTGTTAGCGGGGGGATTTTGGTTTTAACGGGTTTTTACGACCTACATTTAACTTCCCCTTATACAGTTACAAGTGGTTTTAAATTACAGTTGATACAAAATCATTTACTAATGAACAGATGATCAAAGTGTTAATTTTAGTTACTAGGATTAAGGTTTTATTTAATGCTTAATCAAACTGAGAGGAATCTTCTACTTTTAAGAGCAAATTAATATGGAAAAGATATTTTAAATTTCCTCAATTTTTATGTGAATAAAATCAATTCAAAATGAGTTAATTTGGTAAATGTTTACTCAAGATAAGTGATTGTAACTATCAACTTTAATTATTGGAATTTCCTTAATAAATCTATTACTAGTAGAAGATATTTTTATTCCAAGAAAATAAAAATAAAAGAAACAAATATTCATGATTTAGCGGAAAAGATTGCCAAAAATAGCAAAGCAGGGTTTAACTGTAAGGCTTCAGCCAGAACCGCAGAGTCGCTGAGGCCGGTGAGTTTGAGAGAAATCAGCTATGGGAAATCCCAAGCAGAAGTGGACGTCGGAAGAAGAAGAAGCCCTCCGTGCCGGCGTCAAAAAGCACGGCACCGGCAAGTGGAAGTTAATTCAACGGGACCCTGAATTCAGCCACCTACTCTTCTCTCGCTCCAACATTGATCTCAAGGTCAATCTCCGCCGCCACTCCATTTGCGAGTTTCTTCTTGATTTTATGATATTCTTTTTATCTTCTGGATTCGTTGTACATGTTTTATTTGGGCGTTGAATCGTGAAACCGGAAGTTTAATTCGATATTTCCCCGCTTGTTTTGTTCTCGGAACTGTTTGGTTTTGTTGCTATTTCTGCTTCTTAACGGCTTTTAATATTGATTTTCTAGTGATTGATGATGCGTGTCAGGGAAATTATTTGCGCTCAACTTTTCTAATTTTTGGCCAGTTTTGACTAACAAATAAGTCCTACATTTTACATTGATTTGGAGTTGAATTTGCAAGGCCGATGTTCCTGATCTGATATTCTGATTGGTTTATTTTGGCCATTTGGGAATTTATTTGTAGGTTATGTGAATTGATAACGGAACATCAGTGGCTTGGAGGATGTCAATAAAAATTGGAATCTTACTGTTTGGAAACAAAAAAACTAGAGGTTCTGTTTGTCTGAGTAGTATTATTGATGAATATGTTGGAAATATGATCATTAGTAGCTGTAAGACAGGCTTCAAAAAAGCACCTCATTTTGATTTGAATTTTTTTCCGAATTCGTACTGTAAGTTCCAGTTCGAATGTTATAGAATACCTAAGCTAAGCATCGTATTCTTAACTTTATGTACAGGATAAGTGGAGGAATTTGACTGTTAGTGCTACTAATGGTGTGATCCCTAGGGATAAATGGAAAACACAACAAAAGGCCAAGACAAGTACGGATGCTCTTCCTGCACCTGTTGCCATCACCCCGGCTCCGGCACCAATTAACCCGGCTCCAGCGCCCCTTAACCAAGGTATTGCTGCTGTACCAGTATCCATCGGCCCGGCTCCTGCTTCATCAACTCCAATTTCAAATGATGTGTCAATGGAGCCTGCTGCTGAAGACTCCACAAAATGCTTATTGGATGGGAAAACAGCCTCAAAGTAATGTTCATTCTTTACGTATGTTATTCCTGGGCTAGTACTCTTGCACTTAGATTCCGGAGTCTTTCACTTCTTGAGTTACTTTGAAAGATAAACATACTTTTTTGTAACCTATTGTAGGCATATTCTGTTAACCTGACCGAGGCTTAGTGAACCGTGGGCTTTTTCTACCATTTTATCTTATCAGAGTCTTGATTTTCTATTTTACAACCCTTCCTTTACTGTACTATTCCTTTTTTCCTCCATCTCTTTTTCTTTATTTCTTTATTTTTTTTCTATTTTTAATGGTTATATGATGTAAGTTTTTGTTTCTCCAGGTATAATGCTATGATTTACGAGGCACTTTCAACACTTAATGAGCCAAATGGATCAGATACAACCACTCTTGTTAATTTTATCGAGGTGTGCTACTGTTACTTCCGAACTGTAATAGAGTGTTAAATTTTTTAGCTCTGTGTGTGTTTCATTGTTGAAGCTCTTTCATTCAAATGTAGAAGTTCATAGGAGGACTCTTTGTCTCTTGTTATCTTTCATATAAGCTGATCCCACTGCACATACACCTTGTGTAACAGAATCTTCTTAATAATCTGAAGGGGATAGAAGGAACAGGGAAGTTATGGCCTTTTCAAGAATTAACTTGCAGAGCTTTATCTGATGACATTTATATTTTCTGTTTGAATTAGAACACCAACATGTTTGACTAGGAGATCGTAGTGTTGTTTGTTGTTTATCATGAAATGTTACCTTGCCATTTTGATGTTTCGTTCTAGAAATCTGCTTTGATGACCTCCATTTATTAGATTTCGTGCTCACGAGACACTTTTTGTTCCCATTTCTTGCTCATCATCCCTTCTCTCTCTCTCTCTCTCTCTTCCTGGATTAATTTATACTTTGATTGCCTCCATTTAGTCTCCTCCTGTCTGTTATTTCCCCCCCATCTCTCTGCAGTTGCCACTAATAATATGAATTATTGCTTACATTTTTCATGGACTAATCCTTATAACTTCTGATAAACTTTTTAACATTACACTTCTTCCTTGTGAAGAGTTACATGACTTGATATTCCAAATCGATAAACAGAATTAGCTTTTGAAGGAGTTCAATCACATGTCAAAATTGAAGTTGACCATAGGTATCACTGTTGCTTAGTAATAGGGTTGCCGATTATTACTCATTGCTTAGTACAACTGTTGCATCAAATATCACTATATAACTTTGTGTGGTCTTGAATTAATTTTCTTTGTGGTTCATGACCTAGAGAAACATTTTGTCTTTGAAGAAAGCAATATTCACCTGGAACTTTACCAGAATTATTGATTGTGTAAATTGGAAGGTTGCAATATATCGTTTTTGTGACAACTTCGTTTAATGTAATTGTTTTCTCTTGCCCAAATTTGAGTTTTACATTATCGTTAAATCTGGCATGCAAGAGTTTGCTTACAGAAACCTACTGCTTTTGATTTTTTCCTTCCCCAAGAGGTAAACTAGGCTAAATTTGTAATGATTCATAACCTAAAAAGTACATTTGTCTGATAAATAGGGAAAAGGTATCCTAAATTTCAACCCCGATTTTAAAATTACTGATTTTTGTTTACCCGGCGCACTTTAATTTAGCTTCCACTGTTTAATTTCATGTGTGGACAACAAATATCATGAGTTCTTCATTTATGTAAATATGCAGCAAAGGCATGAGGTGCCCCAACATTTCAGAAGAGTGATAACTGCTAGGTTAAGAAGGCTCGTTGCGCAAGAAAAACTTGAGAAGGTGAGTTGCTTACATCATTAATGTCTTCATTGCTTGGCTATCAGTCGTTTGACCGCTTCTTTACATCGATGCATGGGCCTTTGGATTTCATTTGCATTCTTGGTTTCTCCTAATCTGAACTTGTTTAGTTCTAAACTCCCTAGTATTGCCGGCAATTGAAAGCCATACTTGTGTGGACATTTAAAAATACAATTAAATTATCGGTTCTGGATAGAGTTGACCAGTTGATTGCTGATTTCTTCTGTCTATGCCTCGAGTTGTGTTTAAGTGCTTTTTGTCACACATAGAAATCGAATTTTGACATATTATAATGATTTGTGGGTCTCTTTACAGGCTTTTCATTAGTCTTGGTTCTATAGTGTACATATAAACCACGAATTCTCTGAGTTGGTTTTGTGTGGTTTATTACATCTTTCTGTATCAACAGCAAGAAATAAGGACAAACATCAATGTCGGTCTCCCATGACCTCATCCCGATTTTGTAGCAGATAACTACATTTTAACGGTATTTTCCTGTGATAACAGATCTTTAATGGGTTTGCAGGTCAACAACTCTTACAGGATTAAGAAGGAAATTTTGCAGGGTTCTAAACCAACAATGCCGAAACCAAATGACACCCAAACCCAGCCAGAACTGAAGCCTTGTCCCCAGCTTCAGCACCAGCCTCGGCCCCAGTCCCAGCCCCAGCCCCAACCGCAGCCCCAGCCTCAACCCCGGACCCTGGGCCACCAAGCTCAGCCTCAGCCTCAGCCCCACCACCAGCACCACCGCCACCACCACCAGTCCCAACCGCAGCTGCAGCTGCAGCCAACACCGCAGCCTCAGCCTCTTCAGATCAGTGGCTATCTTGGTGATACAATTGAAGAAGCATCCGCTGGTGCTGCGCGTAAAATATGTGAAGCAGAAGATAAATCATTTGTATTAGCTGAAGCTGTTAAGGAGGCAGAAAGGGTCGCAAGGATGTCTGAAGATACAGATGTTATGTTGCAGATAGCGCATGAGATAATTAATAGAAGTAAGACAGAGGATCCATAAAATGTTTCATTCAGTTATCTATCTTCATACTATTCTTTTTTGTTGTCTTAACGGAGGGATGGTTCTTTCGCAGGTTTAAATGGTGAAACGGTTCTAGTGGCTTAGGCTGTGGTTTTGTGTTTTGTGCCTTGAACAAGCAATCAATTACTACATTGTAAATGTTTCCTCTAGTTATCTATCGTTCCTTGCCATATGTTCACTGTAAAATCGGATTGGCTCTGTACAATGAGTATTTTAGACTTGAAAGTTTGCCAACTTTGAGCTTGATCGGAGAAACGGGCCCGATTTTCTCTTTTGGATTGTAATTTTGTAATTACTTGATGAAATTGTTATCACAATTCATTCTTCTCGAATGTGTTCTGATCATACTGCACTTAAGTAGTGTTTGCTGCGGGCATGGGAATGCCCCCTCCTTTGGCAGTGTTGTTTCTCCAGGTCAAGAGGTGTTGAACTCTTTTATTTAAGGATGGATGGAATATATTACTCGTAACAGTGTATATAAATTTTACCCATGTACAAACTGTAGCATTGAATATACTGTATTTAAACGAAGTTGTTGGAGTTGGACAAGTCAAGTTCATCATAATTGTTACTTGTATGGAATGTCTCAAAAAGATGGACAAGCAGTTGAATAGGAATTTTTTACCTCGACAAGGGACAAAAGATGAGGTAAAACGAACACCCTCATCTTAACTTTTTGGCATTTCCGTTGGTCCTTTGGAATAAAAATCCAAACTTTCTGTACATAAAAACCTCCTGATGAAGTCCCAAGCACAATTACGATACAATGTCTACTTACGACTAGTTATCGCATCTACTACCCTAAATCTCAGGCTTTCATCTCTCATAGTATATTTTTATAGATAGATAAATAGAGGGTGGTTTTGGTTTAGGAGTGTTTCTCTTATTGACTTATATTCATATGGAAGAACAAACCGTTGGCCACATGTTCACAGAAAGTTCCCCATTTAACTTGTTTCGCTATTAGGACATAATCTAGCTAGGTTTGGCAGTCTGGTTCTCCCCCACCAAAATACTAAGAGGTGTTTGAATTATTATTTTGGGACGGACCAGAATTCAATCATATAGAAACCACAACATTCGAATATATTTCCTTTTTATTCCTGTTCTGTGCATCAATAGGTAAAACGAAAACTATGGACAACCTTCGATTTGAAGAAACTCACGAGTTTGAAGCAGAAAATGAATCACTGCCCTGGATTTGTTAAAAGAGGCAAATACAGCCTTTCTCATCATCATAATAAAGTCGCAAGTAGTATATAATTCAACAGACATAGTATATTAAGTCCTTATTAGCAACATTAACCTACGAATATGTGTAGTAATTTTAATTATCACTTCTATTACAACGCCTCCTCAATTCATAAAAATCAATAACCTCCCATTTCATAGGAGGGGGCGTCCCAAACTTGCGAAGAACATCTTCTACTTGGAGGTCGCACTGGCTATGAACCAGCCCATGGCGTCCTACGTAGAACACACTAGCCAAATCTCCACCATAATCTTCAGGGATCGTATCATTACCAGCAATATAGCAAATCGCTTTTAGGGCCATCTTTTCGGCTTCATGAACAGACCAATTCAACCAAGTGTTATACTTTTCGATCTGAGACTCATCGTCCAGAACGCCGTCCAACCAGGACCCAGGAGGACCAGATCTTTTCGAATCAATCAAACAATTCAAGTCCAGGAAATCATGCAGCCCTCTAAATCGAGACCCGGTAGCCAATATTTTCCCTGTTATCAGTCCTCCCATACCATCCACCCGATACGAAACAGGGCACTCTGTTTTGTCGTCCCACCCCGCGATCAGTCCCACTTCAAGTCGAGAAGACAGAGTTTGGATCATCAATTCTAAGGCTTCTTCGACGGAAATTTCTTCCCCCCTCGGTGATTGTACGGTCATTGCACCTGGCACACAGATCTTGAAGCAACTTTGTGCATTCCCCAACTTCTCCGCCAGAAATAGTGGCAATCAGGCAAGGACCAATCGAACTAATGTCCTTGGGAAAAGCTGGATCAGGACAAGGTGGGGCAATCAGGCAATGATGATGATTAACAGCTACCACAACTCCTTCTCGAAGAACAATAGCTACAACTGTGTGTCCATTGTCTTCCCGGTAGCTACCATGGTTTGGGTATCTGGTTGGTGTAATAAGGTTAAAAAGTAAATATCGATTCATATAACCTTCTCATGAAGTCACAAGCAAAATTAAGAGGCAATTACCAAATCTAATGTTTGATATAAAACCTTCTTATAGTTTCAAGCATAATCAAGATACGACGTCTACTTAGTTATCACGTCTAAGACAATACTCATGGAGGCATCCACGTTCTGGTTCATCAATCAAACTTAATTAGAGGGACCATTTTTATAGGAGCGGGCAACCCCATTTCGGGGTAAACATCATCTACTCGCTTGTCTCACAATGGCTCTGAAGCAGCCCATCGCGCCCTACACGGAACAAACTAATCAAATCTCCACAATACTCCTCACCAGTCATGTCATTAGCGGCAACCCAGCACATCGCTTTTAGGGCCATCTTTTCGGCTTCATGAATAGACCATGCGGACCATGTGATATATTTCCTACCAAAAATAACAAACCAAGATGACAAAAATGCAACAAATGTACTGCTTAACAAATATAAACCAGAATGAGGAGAACAAGGAAAAGGTGCCATACATGTAATTAGCCTCATCGTCCACAACGCCATCCAACCAAGACATATAAGGAGCAAAACTTTTTGAAACCATCCTACTATACAAGTCCAGAAAAGAATAAAGTCCTCTAAATTGAGATCCAGTGGCCAGTAATTTCCCCTTTAATCACTCCACCCATACCATCAATGCGATACGAGAAAGGACAGTCCTTCAAGATGAAAGAAACAGATTGATTCATAGGAGCAAGAGAGCTGGAACCAAAAAAAAACACGCAACCGACTCTAACCCAATTAGACACAAGGAAAAGATAAAACTATGGATACCTTTTCGCCATCCCACCCAGCGATCAGTCCCACTTCAAGGTGAGAAGCCAGCATGTTGGTCATAATTTGTACAGTTTCTTCAACAGACCTTTCTCCTGCCACATTAGAACACTAACATACACATTGTATATAATTATGAATTTATAATCAACCATCAAGCCAAATAAGCATAAAGGAAAAATCATATTTTCAATTCTATGACCAAACAAAAAGAAAAAAGAAAAATCGGGGAAATTACCTTGTTTTGCAAATCATGCAGCAATTTGGTGCATTCCACATCCTCTCCTCCAGAGAAAGAGGCAATCATGCGCGGACCAACTGAACCAATGTGGTCGGCAATAGCTGATAATGATTTTGACAGACAGTTAGATTTATACTTGAGCAAGTGTTACTTGTACCCACATAAAACAAGGTAATAATAATCCCAACTGTTCTAAATCCAACCCTCCCGAAATTCTACATTATTCAACAATAATGCTGACTAATTGGTTGAAATCTTAAGCGCATTAGGAAAAAATAAGGGGAAAAAAAAGCACACCTGGACCAGAACTGTGATAATTAACAGCGAGCAAAACCGTTTCTGGCAGAAGAATAGCCAGAGCTGTGTGGCCCTTGTCTTCCGAATAGCTACCATCATTCGGGTAGCCGGGACGGGGAACAGGGATAGGCCGTTTCACAATTTCCCCACCATGAACAAGGTAGTGGACGGTTCTCGTGGATGAATTTCCGATAAGTCCAATAATCAAACCCCGAAGGACCATATAAGTCGAGAACATCTTCAAAAGCATCTGGATCTACTACATCGACATCTTCTTCGTCGTCGACGGGCAATTGATCGGGTCGACTGGATCCGGAATCCATGATTCTCGCCTTTTTTGCTGTGTGTTTTGTGGAAGCAGATATCAGACGCTGAACAATTCTTTTTCTTTTCTTTTTTACTCCTGAAGACACCCCCCATATATAAGAGACCGAAATTTTATAACTTGTAGAAAAAGCGACCCTGTATTACAATTTACATCATAATCGAATCCAGTTGACGAACCTTTTAAATGTATGTTTACTTTATCTTCAACCTTTTGTCAAGGACTACCTAGTTTTTCCTAATGCCAAATATCTATCTACTAAAGCCATTGCATTTGTTAAATGGAAGAAAATTGCTTGAGCAATTCGCAGGGAGGACAAAAACCAGAGGCGAGGAAGGAGGGGCATCCAGAAGAATAACCAGTTATAAGCAACCGTAAAAGCTTAAAATACCCTACCTTTGAATCCGTAACAAGAAAATAAATTGGGTTACTGCAAAAGCAGTAATTGAAGCACGTCTAGTACAACAATAAGATAGGCACTCTCAGTTAAAAAAACACTGACTAGATGACAAAGTAGTGCATATAAAGCCTGCAAAAATGATGACGTCGCTGCTGCAAAAGCAGATATGCGATCCAAAATTAGTTTGAAATCTATGACATTTAAAAAGTTCTCAAAATAATAGAGCCTACACAAAGATTTGCATCTTCACCACATATGATTGTTGAATCAAGTATCAAATCCGAATAAAGAAACAAACAATCCTCCTTCCAAATAACCTAGAACTCTCCCCTTACCCACAAGCAAATCAAAATTTAGATGTGTTCGGCTCCATGATGCTTCAACATTACGCTTGGACCAAATGCCAGGCTACAAAAGTACAAGACCAAGCTCTGATGGTTTCAGTGCAGGATTTAGCCTATAATTGTACAGATAGTAGTACAGCTGCCCATCACCTTGACCAAATTTAAGGTCTTTCAAGAAAGTTGCGTTATCCATGACATCTAGTGCATTGAACACATCAAAATCCTTCTGCTTTGCAATGATAAGCGCATCATTCATCAACTGATGCAGTGGAGTATTAGTTGAGGCGTAGTAGAAATTGTAAGCAGCTTTCAAAGTCGAATGCTCCTGGTTGTGAAGAATGGATGAAGGCAGAGTGTAGAAGCTGAAAAACTCAGTAATCTCATGGGTCACTTGACTCTCCACCAAATAACTGTCAATCACGTTCTCCCTTGGAAGAAGCCAGTGCTCTATTTCTTCATTATTAAGTTCTGGAGCCACAATAAATCTGCTCAAGTAGTTCTTGAGCAACTCAGCCACCGCTGGAACATCACGGAGCTCCATTTTCCTTAACCCAGGGGTTGAAGTTGAAGTTGGCAACTTGTATAGTTTAATGGCCCTGCTCATGGTCATCCTGTCGCCAAGTTTAGAAAACCCAACATCTATCAGTTTTTTGGGGTTCAAAGTTCTATGCCAATATTGGCTAGTCGTCAGTGGTGTCGGAAGAAGCACTCCAGCAGTATAGGCAGCCTGCCAGATATTCTCCAAGTGAATCCTCCTAGTGACCTCCTTAATCATCACTGGAGCAAGCCTCTTTGACCGGAGCTTCTTATGAACACACAAAAAGTTGACCTCAGCCATCTTCACAACTTGATCACGAACCCTCATATTCACCGGGATTCCACTAATGAAAGCAACCAACTTCTTTGAAGCCTTAACACGAACTCCTACATGCCAGCTGCTAAAATACCCGGGAGACCTCAAAGCCCACTGAAGAAACTCCTTGGAGTAGTTAAACCTAAACATGTTATCATCATCCTCGACATAATTGTTCGTCAACAACACATAAACCTCATGGCAAACCTCATCAGACCCCATATCACAGGTGGTCCATTCATACAAGCTAGGAAGATTATAGGGCTCTTGTTTGACCTCTGATAAAGGAGTAGGCTGTTCGATTGGACCCTCAGGCAAGGAAGAATTTCCAAAATCCTTAAACTGGCCAACAGGTTGAGTCTCCCAGAATTTGTGTTGCTGATCTAATGGGTTTGATTTCTGAAACTTCTGAACCATATCCTCAAGAGAAGACTTGTAATCAGCTAGTGCTTGTTGTTCATCAGAATTTCGATCCGGGTTTTCCTTGTTAGACCCGGATGACGAATCTTTGTCAGACATTATCAAAACTGAGGGGGGAAAATATATCAATCCTCCAAAAGAACTGATCTTAAAGCTAAATTCTTTAAGCCGAAAGCCTAAAACTAGTTGCTGACTACAATCTGCCAAAAAGCCAAAATCCAACACATTCAACCAATGAGAAACTAAACTCTATAGAAAGCAACGATTTCTTCGAGAACTAAACTCAAACACTCGACAGACATACAATAATCAGAGTAATAAACTTCAATTAGAAATCAAATACGTAAAAGGAAAAGGAAATGATAGAGACTCACATAGGTATTATCGAAGTTCCTTCAAATCGTTCACAGAGGTTCTCAGAAGCTGACCTCTCTTCCTTGCTATCGTTCGAGCCTATGAGGGTTCGCACTTAAGACTTAACTCTCAGTAGTTACAGACTTCTTACAGTAAAAACTGCAAAATCAATTGTTTTCCATCTCTCATCGGCGGGCCGAAAGAAAAGATCGTATATGGTTCTGGGCCTTCTGGGCAATGGGCATTTCCGCCTCGTTAATTTCATTTTCTTGTCACGTTTGGCCTCGTTTGTTTCGTCCACCTTGTCGTATAAATATGAACCACTCCGCGCGATGCGCGGAGCCTGAAGATATGAAATGAAGTCTTAATGTTGTTTGTGACATTAATTTTCATCTCTATTTTTGTAATTTGGTCTCTAATAAAATCGAATTTTGATTAATCAATAAGTAACGATTCCGACTCAAATAATCATATGCTACCCTCTGCTCATTTCTAATTGGACAAGGGTTGAAAATCTAAATGAAATAAGTCTCTCGTTAACGAATTTAGGATAATGAGGATGTAAAATTGTGTTACATGTCGTTATTAAGAATAAAAAAACTGGAATGTTTTGTTAATCAAAATTGTTGGTGGTACATTTAGAGGAGAATGTGAGTAAATTTTACTTTTAGTTGCATGTGACATTGAAAATGAACACGGTCTAATTGAAGTTTGTAACCAGTCACATTTTGCTCTTGAGAATGCCATTTATGTCTTCTATGGTAGACCTTGTTATTACCACCTATGTCTACAAAATATAGTCCACAACTCTACATTCAATTTTTAAATTTGATATGAATTTTTTTTTATTTTTTTTTTTTTGCCAGAAGGAGTAATAATTATACTCATGTCAACCAAAAAAGAAGGGAAAAAAATTATGCTCCTCCAAATCATTCGCCAAAATAATAATTTTATATCTTGAGAAAATTAATCAAGCGCATCATATATAGAGATTAATAAACTTAGGCGAGTGGGAGAATTGAATGGCGAAGACAAAGTGAAACACAATGATGAGGAAACAAACCAAATCAAGAAAAAGAAAGAAAGAAACAAAAAAAAGTGGACGAAAATGTTACTCCAGCCACGTCACCGGATTAACGTAACACTAGCTGACTGGCAACTGAATGCTTGAATTAACAGAACAAGAAAGTATAATTAGTGAAATTAGAAGAAGAGATGAACACACACTAGAAGACTAACGCCAACTATTACATCTGGACAAATCCTTACAGTCGTTCTCCAGTAGCATATTTATATACCAAGGGAAACATCAAAAAAATATAATCCACTATCTACGCCTAAAGCGGCTTTAACAAGAGCATCGACACGCATATTATTATCCATATACGTTTGTACAAAACATATATCCCAATTAAAACGCAAAATAGTGTGAATCCCTCTTAATTCTGGATCTAGAGGGATTTCATTCTGATCCTTCATACTCTGGATCAGATCAATAGCTGCTTGGGAGTCGGATTCGCATATTAATTTTGCGATTCCTAACTTCTTGGCGACCTCCATTGCTAAGAGGATCGCTCTCAGCTCTGTTGTTTCCACAGAACAATGGCCCAAGTTTTTTTATTCATTTAGCTGAACTTACTAGTTTATTATACAGATCTCCAGGAGTTAGCTAAGAAGCAGGAATCAATCAATGTTACAGCTACACACACAAGAGGGTCATTCATTATTGTTTCTGCAATGACTTCATGATTTATGGCAGTTGTCTTATTCGTATTCAACTTAGAATTCACCATGGAAACCTTCCCTGCGCCTGCAAATGGTTGGTTTTGGGATTAAGAAATATATGCAGTGTTACTTAAGATGTTTGTCAATGAGCATCTTTCTAGCTTGTAACTGAGTACTGCATTTTGTAGGTCTGAAACCTTCCCTGAGCCTGCATTTTTTCCATGGAAAAACTCTACAAAATGGCTTTAGGCTCATCAAAAAGACATGGTAAAGGATCATCAAATGCTCTACTACTCTGCTGTGAAGTGGGGTAGGACAGTGGTTTTGATGGCTGCATCATCCCATTCCAGAGAATCCCACCATTCCTTGTAACAATAGATAGTTGGAAGTTCTGCAACATTTTGGGCCTTGAGTGGTAGCCTTTTCAGCATGGGGCAATCTATCACCGCAATTTTCTTAAGGGAAGGGAAAGATATCTTCTCCTTGGAGATGCTCTTCAATTTTGGAAGCTTTCTGATTGACATAACTCTGAGCTGAGGAAATGCATTTTGATAATCTTCACTCTCTGCGTGATCTCCTCTTATCACTTCTTCCATCTCGGGGCAGTAAAATAGGTAAATCATTTCCAGCTTTGGAAGCTGCAAAATCCAGCTCACATTCTTCAAAATGTCACAGTACCATATGTTGATGCAGCGGAGATTTCTAAGGCACCCTTTGCTCATTGGATTTCTCCATACTGACACCAAACTGGGAAGACCATGCATAGCAAGAATCTCTAGGTTTGGCAGCCAATTATCCTCTGCCCCATCAATGATCGCCAAGTACTTGAAATCTGGACAGTTATTGATGCTGAGCCTTCTTAATCTCTTACCATCTCCAGTACTGTGTGATAATTGTAAATTATAAAGTCCTTCACACTCCCTTATGTACAAGTATTCTACACATCTCCGCAGTCTTCTACTACCAGATATGCTTTCCAGAGCAGATAGATTTGCTAATGTGATCCCCAGGGAAGCGAGACGTGGCAGATTTTCCAAGTCGCTGAGCCTAGCCTCTTCCTCATCTACTAGATGACTTAGTTCCCAATCTCCAAAGCTGTAATAGAAGTTCAAGACTCTTAGTTGAGACAATCCAGATATTGCTGCATTTGGAATGCTATTTAGATTCCGGTTACGTTGGAGATCCAAATACTCCAGCCTAGTGAGATTTCCTAACTCCTTAGGCAGTGCACTTATCTTGGTTCCAGATAAATCAAGATGCCGCAGATCAGACAATCTGCCAATGCTCTTTGGTATTTCCCTGATACTGGTAAATGACAAGTCCAAGACCTTTAGATTGGGCATATTTCGGAAAAAATCTTGAGAGATTTTGGTTAGACCAGAGTTCAGTTGCAACAGCAAGGTAGTTAAATGAGGACAAACAGGAGTTCCAGATAAGTCAGTGATATCATTGTCCAACAATGAAATTCTTTCTGCTACTCCCCAATGCTCAGATTCGGGTGCTCTTGTCAATCCTGTACTAGCCTGCATCAAGAACTTAGCCTTCTCCTTACCCCCATCAGATGCAACCCATAAAGCAAAACTTCGAACAACGTCATGCATTTTCACTCGAGTTTCATTTTCACCATTTTCCAGAAAACAAGCTGTTTTAAGAGATCCAATTATAGAATGACCCATTATATGGAAATTATCATCACTGCCTAGAAACCCTTCTCCTGCCCAGTACCCAATGAGCTGTTCTTTCTCTAAACCATAGTCTTCAGGGAATAATGAACAATACAAGAAGCATATCCTTACTATGTCATTTCCCAAACTATCATAACTAAACTTAAGCAGCGTAAAAACATCTTCCATACCTCGAAATTCCGAAGGAGACTTGTTCAGCACTTCTATGGCGTATCTCCACTCTTCTTCTGTCTGTTTGTTGGCCATAGCCCTTCCAATGGTGATCAAAGCAAGTGGAAGGCCTCCACATTTCCTGATGATGGTCTCTGCATAACTAGGAATCAGTGTTTGAGTATCTAAGATCTGACTCCCTACTTTCTCATGAAACAGCTGCCATGATTGCTTCTCATTCAGGAGTTCCACCTTGAGCTTGTGATCGGCATCCATGTCGCTGCAGACATCTAAAGAACGGGTCGTGAATATGACTTTACATCCGTTTTCCTTGCTAGGAAGAGGAATTCCTATCAGGTTAAAATCCAGGCCTTTCCAAACATCATCCAATAGCAGTAAGAATTTAGTCTTCCTCATGACACTATGTATTCTAGAAGCTCTCAACTCCTGGAACTGGCTTTCATCCCAGGACAGCCCTAATCTCACCCCAATAGCCTGCTGGATTTTCTCAACAGTGACTTCCTTAGAAACAACTGCCCAAATTACCACATGAAAACCATGCTCTTTAGTCAAAAAGCTATTGTTTATGCTCTTTAGTAACGTTGTCTTTCCAATCCCTCCCATCCCATAAATGCCAATGATTCCAACATTTTCTTTCTCGAGCAGATTTTGGACTTCTTCAAGTATCAACTCAAGCCCAATTGTCGGCCTACTAGGTATCTCCACCACAGGTACAAGAAACAATCCATCAGCAATCTTCACATCCAAAATTGCTTTTCCTTTCAACTCGTTGATCAACGAAAGATGCTGCTGTACTTTCTGGCTGATTTTGTACTTCCCGCAGCAATTCTTGGGGCTGCAACATCGCCAAGAATAACTTCCGTTTTCAATGCCTTCTGCAATAGATCTGACCTTTGTTTCCACATTCTCCACTCTTTCCAGCCACCCTTTGACTTGGTTTGTGCAGGTCAACCCCAAAAGCTCTGCTCGATCAACTTGCTTCTTTAGGTCATCCCTGGCTTCTAGCAGCTCCACAAGTGCAGCCTCAAGGGAAGAAACACTCTGATCCAAATTCAAAACATTATCTATTCTTGGAGAAAGGTAATTGATGATGGTGCTCAAGAAGCCTACCAAAGTGGTGGCAATATCCATTATATTAGCCCTGTTGAGAAGAATACTTCTTTGGCTTCATTGATGACCCGGTCAGTCCCGGTGAGATCATCAAGAGTTCAGAAAGATCTCTGTGACATCTCTGATTGAGCTTTCCATCAATTATTTTTGTTTAGCTCCCAATTCCCTTTTAGCTTACAAGTTTCGTTGACTTAAAAAGTGTATTACTTTCCGCAAAGTACAAAGTCTAGTTTCTCATTAGTTTATTGATATTGATCTGTTTTCAATCATTTCTTTCGAGAATTACATTTTTTTATTACTTTCCGGGAAGTGAAGTCGACCAATTACATGTCGATGTAACATTTCCGGGTAGTGTTGGACTTGGTAATTAATCAATTTCAGTTTTTCCCAAAGAAAGAAAGAAAAAAAAAAAAACCTTCACTTTATATGGGCGAGTGTGATTCAGTCAATTATGTTGTAATTAATACACTTAGATAAATTCCAAGGATGTGGTTAAATTACGGTCCCTAATGTGATTCATTCCTTGGGGTGATTCAGGAAGTTAACATCTACTGCATAATATCCCTCTACTGTGATCCTTGGTGATTTTCATCCTAAGCATAAAAAAAAAAAAAAAAAGAAAAGATAACTGCCAACAGCATCAGCAAAATTACTATATTCATATGTAATACATTATGAGAGATGAACAAGAAACTTTTTGTGAACAAATTGTATGATGATAAACAGAGTTTTATTTAGAACACATTTAAAAGTCTTAGAATGACTACTAGTGTTGAGGATTCACCCGGTCAAGAACACCGTCTGGGCTAACATTTGTGATCAAAGCAGAAAGAAGTGTCAGTAAAATAGAAGAATCGTCAAGTTGGTTGGTTAATTGGGGAAAATGCATTAGTTGAACAACACAGTTTTTTTGTGGCATTGGTGACAGTGTGAAAAGATTTCAGTTAGGAAATTGAGTTGGTGCTTTTAAGTTATGATATTGAGTTAGAAGCTGAGTTGGTGAAAGCATGCCAATTGAATCAGCTCCTAATTTCCCCTTTAGGCTTCCTCTGGGGAAGAAAATGACTAAGATTGCTCTTTTCTTACCTCATAGCTCAATTGAAATCCACACATAGCTCCCAAACAATGCCACAACATCCTGTGCAGTTTTTTTTTTTCCCGGATGGATTACCAATTGATGATGGTTGCTCTTCTTTTCTGGCCACTCATTGCTGGTTTAATCACCCATCAGAGAGCGCAACAGCCTCGATGCGGCTCGATTTTTATAATCAAACCTGCCCCAGGATCTGAGAAGATTATATTCACCCAGGTGCGGAACATCCTCCCTAAGAACAGCATTTGATTGCATCGGCTGTGATTTTATACGGCCTCGATTCGACGATAGCAAAAAAGCTGATGATCCGTACAGTGCTGAAGATTTCAAAGCGGAAATACCACAAAAGTGTGAGAACACAGACAACAATTTCAGCATGATGGACCCTGAACAACTGTCCTCTGCTTCATCATCTTCTCCGCTGCGATCTCATTTCGGAACTCACAACTACGAATCGCTGACCAGAAGAAGGGGGCCTCCTCTTTTCCGACATGGAGTTGATGGCCAACGAACAAACAGCTGCCGTCGTCGAAGAATATGTGTCAGACGATGGTACCACGTTTCGAAGAGACTTGACCAGAGCCCTGGTTAAGATGTCTAATCTAGTCACTTTGACGGGTTCTCAAGGTGAAGTCAGAGTCAACTGTTCCGTTCCGCTTAATACATAATGATGTTATCAGGATGTAGTGGATGACTACAGAGGCTTTTGCTTACAGTTGAATTGTGGTTTGTGTACTTCCTTGTCTTCATGAAAAGGTATGAGGATAAAATTAAATTTTGCAGGCCTGACAAAATTGCCATAATGGGAAACGACAATTGAATTTCAGAGTAAGTTCACTGATTACCTTTCGACATATCTGAATGATCTTTTTCAATCAGATGATTGGTTTCACACAATATATTCAGTTTGCAAGCCATAAATTACCAGATTAATAATAACTTGAAAAAATCAGAAGGATTGAGAGTAGAAAAATGAAAACAAACCGATGCAATTAGTACTGTAAACTTCATAAGGAAAAGGAACCTGAAACTGAGTAACAGAAAAGAATAGGAATAGGGCTTATTTGGGGACGGAAGGAGTCTGCAACATGAGTATTGTGATTGACTAACAGATTAATTTACTGGTAACAAATCAAATGATGATCTGGAATCCAAGCTACAAAAGCCAAGAGCTCTTCAACACTTGTCGTTCTGTTTTTTGGTGCATTTTCCTGTTCCAGTGTTCTGCACTGTCTTCAACCATGTCACTGAAATCTTCCGCTGATTGTTTAGTTTATCTTCCTTCCCAGCCTCCTCATGTTCGGCTGGCAAAACCTTATCAGTTTGATTCGTCGAAATCCAGGTTTCTGGATCGACATTTTTTTCTTGGTCCTCCAGAACCTGAGACAGAGTTCTTTCCGGCTCTTCCCTTTGATTCTTACCAAGATCATCTTCTTCTTCTTCTTCTTCTTCTTCTTCTTCTGATGCTTCCAAATCACCCCAGTGTTTGTGTTTGCGTTTGCGTTTGCCCAGGGACATTATTGGTTTCGGTTCCTCCAACTTGTTGTCCTTCTCAAATTCCTTTCCGTCAAAGTAGAGATCACCATGAGAAGTGAGCCTCGGTTTGGTCTGATATTTGAAAAATGCGTCATGAAGAACCTGATCGTCAAGATCCATTTTCCAGCTGTCCTCGTTTTCAATAGAAGCTGGCCTGATTGCCTCAATTCCGGTGGCAACAATATATTCAGGGAGCTGGTACGGCTTTTTCTCTGCGGCAATTAGTTTCCCCTCTAAATATTCCCGCCAATGCCTTGGAATTGGAACACTATTCCTGTATGATTTCAGGAATACCGCCGACGCCGCCGCCGTAGAATCCCCGTCCTCAACAAGGTTGGGTTCTTCCGTACTCATCTGTTCGTTCTTTGATTTTTCTCCGAGGAGCAAATATGGAGGTCTTCCGCTCTAAATAAACAAAAATCCTGTGAGAAAAGAAATAAAAAAAAAGGGCTTGCACGAAACCATGGAGGTAGGTCAAATTTATAGGGGAGACTAATAAAAACGTCGAAACCGGTTTGGATTTGGATCCTTTGCGAAAATATAAGATTAGGAAACATTGATTGCACCGACAACGTCAATTAGATTAGATTCCAAATCGAAATAGGAATAGTAAAGTTATTAGAGCTGCTAAAAAACCACCACTCTGCTTACAAAGAATTCGGAGAGGGCAACTGCATTCTGCAACTATGTGATCGATGATGATCAACAATGTCTAGTTACTTCGACTTTACAACTATATGCAGACTTTTGGGATGTGATTGTACTAATGCAACTTTTGATAGCTGCAAATTATTCGTAAACTCCTTGTACTATTGTTCACAGTGACGGATTGGGGGTGGTTAGGGTGGTCAATCAACCCCCGGCCGGCCGGATTTGACCAATTTTTTTCTTAGTAGGGTGTCCGTTAATTGAAATCTTTTCAGTTCAACCCTCCTGTGACGGTTGAATAATCCTATTTTCGATCCCGCGATTTGAAAATTCTCGTTCCGTCACTGATTGTTGCAACGTAACGAAGTCATTCTTATCTTTGGATGGTGTAAATATTTACTCCAAAAGTTATGTATAAATAGTAAGAAAAAAAAAAAAAAAACCAAGTTGTGATGGCCTCATGTATTCAATCATACTATCACACTTTCCTCCTCCTTTGCAAGCCAAATTTAATTTTGGTCTCCTTCGTCAGATTTGAGCTAAGCCTAAGAAACACAAAAAAACACGCAGTTACAAGACATTAAAAAATTCCACCAGAAAAAAAGAGCACAGACAAAGGAAGATCAAATGGATTGAAAGCACCACATTTTGCTTGTAACCATTGTCACCACCATTACAGAAAAGCTTGTAATTAATCTCCCATTTGAGTTTTCATATTTAGTTCAAAATGTATTGAAAGTGAAATCTCAAACTGAACAATAATTTTGGGACAGAGGGAATACATCAACTAATAACTAAAGCCATGATTTGGTGGGCAGGTTCAGTAGGATCTTTGACCAAATTTCTTCTGGCAAATAAATTCCCTCCATCTACTTCGATCAAGCGTCAAAAAACTAATAGGTAAAACAGTGAGTAATAATAAACTAAAATAATTTCTAGCTTGGTTTAATTCTTTGTAGGAGTATTTATAATTAGATTACAAAGTTCAAGTTAATGCATGGGTCGACAATGTTAATCAATAAGGAATTGAAAATAATTTGATTGATTAGCTTTTTTTTTAAAAAAAACGTGCCACTTAATTAGTTGTAGTTGTAGTTTAGATTTCAGATGAGGATAGAAAGAAATCGGAGATTTACGGCCACATTAGTTCTTCCGACAAATAAACTAGTCCGATTTATTTTGCCCTTAACAAATTAATATTCACGTTCACTTTATTTGCTAAATTAGTTCTGGACGATTGGTGGCTTCGATGACGAGCCACTTGTAAAACTGAGAATAAATCTGAACAAATTGCTGACTCTTTCTCGCTCTTAAAAACCTCCAAAGCTGTATAGATCCGAGGACTTTGGGACACACACTCACACACCAAAATTAGAAAGAGAAATTAAAAATAATAATAATAAAAATAATGATAATATTTGCTGGTTACTAGTTCACTTTTTTTTTAATTTTTTTTTTTTAACAATCTCACCAGCTATTTAAGATTTCTTTAAATTTCTTGGTAAATCTCTCTCATTCTTGATTCTTGTTTTTCACTGTCATTTAAGTTTGATAAAAATTTTCTGAGTATTCATTTCATTTTTTCTTTTGAGTTATAGTTAGTTCATTACTAATAGTAACCAAAAGCTGGATCTTTGAGGAAGAATATTACAAGGGTCGGATTTGTGTAACTGACATGGGTAATCAATTCATTTACGTTGTGCGCAAAGGATGATCATTAAGGACATTTCATGTCTGGCTGATCAAAATTTGCTGCATGTGTGATCCATTTCACTGGATTATATAGTCTCTGTACTATGTTTTAACTTGAAAGATGGATCGAATCTATCAAATTCATAATTTACTGGAAACACTGATATTCCCAGACTACTATTCATTGACTAACTTTTGATAACATTTCAGGCATGGCAGGTGCGACGGTAGATGGATCACAGTTTGATGCTCGTCAATATGATGCTAAAATGAATGATTTGTACGACAAGATTCCCATCCTTTGTTACTGTTTCAGAAGCATTAGGCTATAAATATGTGGTGTTTTTTTAGATACCAATATGATTTTATTAGCAAATGATCCCAGTTAGTATTGTATAAATTAAATCTCTATTGATATATTACAGGCTTTCGGCAGATGGAAGCGATTTCTTTACCTCATACGATGAGGTCTGCGACAGCTTTGATGCTATGGGTTTGCAGGAGAATCTTTTGAGAGGCATTTATGCATATGGTAATTTCGGTTTCCGGTCTGATCCAAAACTTTTGCTTTACATTGGCTTCACTGATTTAAGTTGTTCTTTGATCAACACCTCCATTCCAATTATGCGTATGGTTTGAAAAACAGATTAAGGATCATAGATCAACCGAGATCCTATAGCTTAAGGATCAGAGTTTACTCCAATTATGGCTTGAAAAACATATTTCAGGATCAGAGCTGCTTCCTAGCTTTTGACATTGTAATGCAGCTAGCTTAACTTAAGTCTAAAACATCGCTGTCTGTTATGTTAGGATTTGAAAAACCTTCAGCTATTCAGCAAAGGGGAATTGTTCCTTTCTGCAAAGGACTAGATGTTATTCAGCAGGCTCAATCCGGAACTGGAAAAACTGCAACTTTTTGTTCCGGGATCCTCCAACAGCTTGACTACGGATTAGTTCAGTGCCAGGCTCTGGTATTGGCGCCTACGCGCGAGCTAGCTCAACAGATTGAGAAGGTTATGCGAGCGCTGGGGGACTATCTTGGAGTTAAAGTCCATGCTTGTGTTGGCGGAACCAGCATTCGTGAGGACCAACGCATTTTGGCATCTGGAGTTCATGTTGTTGTTGGAACTCCAGGGCGCGTGTTTGATATGCTGCGACGGCAGTCTCTTCGCGCTGATTACCTTAAGATGTTTGTGTTGGATGAGGCAGATGAAATGCTTTCTCGCGGTTTCAAGGATCAGGTTCTCCTCTTTCTGTGTTTTTGCAGCTTTCATTTGCAGCTCCTTTACATGTTTGCTTATGTATTGAAACTGACTGAACCAGAGGAACATTATGTTTTTTCCCTATTGTTTCACCAGATCTATAATATCTTTCAACTTCTCCCAACAAAAGTCCAGGTTGGAGTTTTCTCTGCCACAATGCCGCCTGAAGCACTTGAGATTACCAGGAAATTTATGAACAAACCTGTTAGGATTCTGGTGAAGCGTGATGAGCTTACCTTAGAAGGTATAAAGCAGTTCTATGTGAATGTTGACAAAGAAGATTGGAAGCTCGAAACACTCTGCGACCTGTATGAGACCTTAGCCATCACTCAGAGTGTCATCTTCGTGAACACACGGCGCAAAGTTGATTGGCTCACTGACAAGTTGCGAGGCCGGGATCATACAGTTTCAGCCACACACGGCGACATGGATCAGAACACGAGGGACATCATAATGCGCGAGTTCCGCTCTGGATCATCCCGAGTGCTCATTACCACGGACCTGTTGGCGCGAGGGATCGACGTCCAACAGGTTTCCCTAGTCATAAACTATGATCTCCCTACTCAGCCTGAGAATTACCTCCATCGCATTGGTCGTAGTGGACGGTTCGGGAGGAAAGGAGTGGCCATCAACTTTGTTACCAAGGAGGATGAAAGGATGTTGTATGACATTCAAAAGTTCTACAATGTGGTAATAGAAGAGCTGCCATCAAATGTTGCTGATCTCCTCTAGACAAGTTTGTGTTTGTAGCTAGCATTTTTAAGTGATTTTAATACTTTTTGTGTTGAGATTTTGAGATAGAAGTTTTTGCAGTGTTTTTTTTGGATTCTTCCTCCCCTCCTAACAGGTTTTATACGTCAGTTTAATGTTGTCTTTTTGTTATTTGAGGTTTAGTGTTTGGTGTTCTATTTTGTGTACTCGGATTAATTCATTAAAGTAAAACGCGAGAATTTCATTTGGAGATGCTGGAAAGCGTTATATCCGCGACGAATCACAATGACAAAATCCAATTTAATCAATATTCATCATATTATAATGTTTCTTCAATCTTAATTAACTCAGGGAAAAACACAATGTGAGGATGAAACAGTAATAGGTTAGACTGGTGAAAAAAAACCTTTTTTTTTTTCTGAATTTGGTAAGTACATTTTATAAAAGAGCCAGTTAAATTAAAATAATGTACTATGTGTAACTCTTTATTGCAAGATGACAAAGCGAAGTTCAATATCAATGCGTCGTACTATGTTGAAATGAAAATGAAAGGTTGAGTGTGAAATTTAGAAGTGAGAGAAATTGAGATTTCAAATGTATTATGGGGTTAATTTTCAATTTAATACTTACATGTCACTATCTCTAAGTATCTATCTTTTTTTTATTATTTAAAAGAAAGAAATTGTAGCCTAAAACTTCCCCCAGCTTTCGTCCTACAAGATGGTGTATGTATGATCAAAATACACTAGCAACAACTTGCAGAAAAGTTAGGAAGATAACGACAATTATGGTGCATTTGTTAAAATTAAAAATTCTCAAATTATACCAAACCAAATAAGCTTCCAGATGCTGGGGAAATTTGTCTCTTTGTCTATATACAAAACTATGTTCTGCAATAAACGAATAAACTTTAAAATTTTACTTGACATGTCTCATTTATGAAATTGAAATATTACAGGTAAAGACGATTTTTAGTTTTGACAGAGAACCATGAGTATTGCCCGTTGGTGGAAAACAATAGTATTAAAATATAGTTTTATGTTTGTAAATGAAGATTTGACATTTAACACATCATCAAATCAAATATATTAAAGGGAAAAAGACACGCATTTTAAGTTTCCCCAACCCCAATACTCAGATTAAGCATGATAATCTCAACCTTAATTAAGGAACGAAGATCAATTACACAACTCACAAATGTTTATTAGATTTTATTTTTTTTAAAAAAGAGAAGATCAATTTCACACGTTAAAAATCCGCATCAAAGGCTAACACTTTCCATACAGGGGACTCGTGATAGAGCCAGTCAGTAACCCAATCCCGAGAGCCTGCCCTTTTCCAAATACTTTGACCATGACCCGGACCTCCTCTTCTTTTTTTAATTTTATCAAATTAATTACGTCATCTCTTTAGAATCTCTTTTTCTGTCTCCTCTAATAATATCCCCATGGCCCACAACCCACCCCGTATACACGACTTGTACCCAACGCATCACATCTTCATCTTGTACCCAATCTTTTTCCGGCTGTTTTTGTAATTTTACGTGTTTTTAATTTTTTTTCCCTTTTTCTTCTTCTTTTTATTTTTATAAAACACGCGGTTGCCCGCACACACACACGCACCTATTAGAACCTTCCAAGCGGCGGCTCCTCCGTCGGCGGCATTCCGCCAGATCCTCCTTCCTCCATTTCTCGCTCCCCTTCTTACCACCACCACCACCAGGGAGAGTATATACCTTAAGAATTAAGAATTTATTCTTTACGCTCCCGGCTGCACCCTATTATTTTTATTATTAATTCTTTTATTGTCAAGATTTATCAACACGCATGAAAGTACACAACCGACCTGAATTTTCTTTCCCATCGCCAATATTTTAATGCTTTAAAAGCCATACATACTTCTCGACCTTTCCCCCAAAATTCGTCTCCCTTATCTCTCTTTTCTGCATCACCGGAGCTACGCCAAACAGTTTTCTGAGTTTTCTCTGCTTTTTTTTTTTTTGGTTATTTATTTGTTTGGGGAGGAGTTTTAAAACAGTTTGTTGAGAGCTTGAAATTGGTGTAATGGCGATCATGGAGTCGCCGGAGAGTGTTGGAGCCGGTGCCGCGGCGACGACTACGACGACGACTACGAGTGTTATTTCCAGCGCGGGGAATGCGAATTGTGAGTTGAATTACGATCGGAGCGGTTCTGTTAGGAGGAGACCGAGTGTTGCCGCGGCGTTGAAGGAGGTGGTGAAGGAGTCGGAAGCGGAATCTGATTCTAGTTTCAAGGAGATTTACACGAATGATGACAGTAAAAATGAGGTTGTTAATGGTAATAGTTGTAATGGTGAACTCGAAGTGACGAGCCAGAGTGGCGGAAAGGACGAGAAGGAGAAGGATAAGGATGGGAATAGCGAGGGCAGAGGAGGCGGAGCTGAGTCGTCCTCCAAGTTCACTTATAGGCCTTCCGCACCAGCTCACCGGAGAATCAAGGAGAGTCCTCTCAGTTCTGATGCCATTTTCAAGCAGGTACACAACTGCCTAATGAATTCCATGTCTTTGATTTACTTGGAAAAAAAAATAATCAAGAGTTTTATTCGCTGTCGGAGCTAAAAATTCTTGTTCAGTTCAGTTAAGGTGGGCGGGCTAAGAAGTTTTTGTTTTTTTTTTTTTTAAATAATAATTTGGAGTCTCCATGAAAAATTGCATTGGAGGCCTCAACCCGTTAGAGTATTTGAAAGATAAAAAAGAAAACGAACTTCCACATTTCACAAGTGTACAAGTGGAGTGATGATAGATGGGGCTGTGGTATTGGGAATACACTGAACTGTATAAGAGAATGTGGGGGAATTTTAAAACTACTGGCTATGACTAGAGAAAGTCTGCATCAAGAATAAATGGAAATGGCTTCAGTTTTCCCAATATCCCACTCTCTCTTAGACTTCTAGCTCTAGCAAAACTCTCATTTCATGTTATGTCGAGCATATTTTAGTGACTCGTCTGCTGTTGGATAAAAGTGCTTGGTGAAGGTTGACTGGCAATAGTTGGACTCTCTCTATGGTTTACTTATTGATTTTTGTCCTTAATTTTATACTAGTACAAATGACCTAGCAATTTGTCAGTGGTGGAAGAAATGCCGCATGTTTAGTTTGGCTGAAAACATCTTTACTTCAATGCTAAGTTTAATGGTATGTTTTGGTACTGGTACTGATGATTTTTTTTCCCTGCAGAGCCATGCAGGTCTTTTTAATCTGTGTATAGTGGTACTTGTTGCTGTGAACAGCCGGCTTATCATTGAAAACTTGATGAAGGTGTGTTGCTTTTCTAGTAAATATAGACAACTAGTGTGCACTGTTTGTTAGTTATTCTGCAAGACTACCACAGTTTTTTGCACTTCTTGTGCCAAAATTTAGAGAATTCTAGTACTTCACTGATTTTTTGCCTTGCTTTCATTGTTGCAGTATGGGTGGTTAATTAGAACAGGTTTTTGGTTCAGCCCGCGGTCGCTAGGGGATTGGCCACTGCTTATGTGCTGGTATTTAGTCCAAAAACTTAGAGCTTCATTTCCTTGACTTCAGAAAACCACAATGTAGAAGATTTCTTCTTCATGGAGAGAAGTGTCTAAACTTTTATGGTTTTAATGACGATCTTGCAGTTTAAGTCTCCCGGTTTTCCCCCTTGCTGCATTCTCGGTTGAAAAATTGGTCCAGAAAAATTATATATCTGAACCAGTAAGTTTACATTCCTTCATCATTTTGATTGTTAAGACTGTTACAATTTTTTATTTTTATTTTTAATTTTTTTGGTGTTTTGAATCAGTTGTCGCACTGTTTTTAATGTTTCTTTGTGATATTGACTGATCCTTTGGAATTTTGATAAACTTTTGATATTGCATACATTCAACTTACATTTATTGTGGAAAGAAAAGATTGCATGAGACTATTTGTTTTAGGTGATTTCTGTTGTTTCTTTCATACTAGATCAAATATTCTGTTAGAATTTTTATCGAGAAATAGTTTCTTGCACTCCTGGTGTTTGCTGCTGTCCTCATTTGATGGTAGCAAGCAAACTGATTATTAAGTTGTAGAATCGCTGTTTGTCAAATTAGTTTGCAAATGCTCCAGAATTTTATCTGGGTTTCTGTTTGTTTCTGTTTCGAGCACTTTGTGTATCTACTTTCTTAAGAGTCCTCTGGGACCAATTTATCTGTCCTTCTTCCTGATGTAAATGCTAACAGATGTTATATTATTCTGTATTTTCAGGTGGCGGTTTTTCTTCATGTTGTAATAAGTGCAACTGCAATTTTGTATCCTGTTGTTGTCATTTTGAGGTTTGTCTTCACTTTATGGGACTGTTATCTTTACTGTTGTATTAGATCAATTTGAGGTTTTCCTTTACTTGTGTTTTGAAACTTGTAATGGTTTGTCTTCACCTTATGGTGGATATTAATCAGAATTGTAATCATGATACTGAAAATTCTGTTGGGAGGTGTTGTGTGTGTATTTGTAGCATACATATGTTTTGCATTGCTGATGATTTTCTAAAATTAGTAGTTATGATCTAAAATGCACAGGTGTGAATCTGCTGTACTCGCGGGCGTGATTTTGATGCTGTTTGCTTGCATCGTTTGGTTAAAGCTGATATCTTATGCCCACACAAATTATGACATGAGAGCACTTTCGAAGTCACTTGAGAAGGTAAAACTGGCAGCTTTTTTGTTATCTTTTGATTCTGATTTTCTTCCCGGAGTTCATTTGTGTATATTCGTATGTAGCACGATTATATGAAATGAGAAGGAAAATTGGTGTTGTGACTATCTTTCCTGTGCTACTTGTGTACTTCAATTGTAATCTGCTTTCCTTAAGTTTGATGTAGGACTATTCTAAAATGCTGAATGGTTAGTCAAAATTATTTCCCCCTAGATTCTGTGGTTAATCACATTTGAAGCGCTGAAAAATTTCTTGGGAACTTTGTGATTGGAGTTGCAAGTGATTTGATTTGGAGAATGGGTTCTCGAAACATGTACATGTGAAGTTATTTAACCCGTTTTGCAAGTCCTTAGCGTTTTGATTATGTAAGCCCATGTGAGTGTTTTAATTCACATCTCTTTTTAACAATAGGGAGAAGAGGTCCCCAGTTATTTCGGCACAGATTGCACCTATGATATAAGCTTCAAGGCTTTGTTATACTTCATGGTTGCTCCGACGTTGTGTTACCAGGTTAACACCCCAGGCATTTATCATTACTTCAACTATCATTTGCAATTTATGGCAACTCTTTTTATAAAATAACTAAATGTTGGTGTAACAGTTGTCATTATACGGATAATTTGTTGGATTTCTGCAATTTGCTACAACTATCTTATGCACTAAAATTTGCAGACAAGCTATCCGCGCACGACTTGCATACGGAAGGGTTGGGTTGTGCGCCAACTAATTAAGTTGATTATCTTTACCGGATTAATGGGGTTTATCATTGAGCAGGTTAGTCCCTTCAGGTTGTAATGAAATGTATCTAACCGGACGTGACCAGCTGACTTCTTGTGTTCTTCTGCAGTACATTAACCCCATTGTACGGAACTCTCAACATCCTCTGAAAGGAAACTTTCTTTATGCTATCGAAAGGGTCTTGAAGCTTTCCGTTCCAAACTTATACGTTTGGCTGTGCATGTTTTACTGCTTTTTTCATCTTTGGTAAGCCATCTCTCTTCAGTTGGAAATTTGTGGATGAATTTTCTTGTCTAGTTGATAGATTATCTCATTCAGAAGATTATGTTAGTTTCTAGTATTTTCATTTGCCAACAAATTTGCTCTGATTATACTTACATGCAGTGCTTTGATTTAGGCTAAATATACTTGCAGAGCTTCTGCGTTTTGGTGATCGTGAATTCTACAAGGATTGGTGGAATGCAAAAACAATTGAAGAGGTTGGTCACGATAAAGTCATACTTCTTTATTTACTTGATCTCCGCTTTGTTGGGTGTTGACTGTAGCTTCTTGTCTGCTTCTCTCTTTTTACTATTTTGGAACTGATTGGAGTTTATTTTCTCTTGCTTCATGTCATTTTGCCTCTGGGCCATGCTAGTATTGGAGAATGTGGAACATGGTATGCACTACAATCTGCTATAACGCTGCTGTTTTTTCTTCTGTATTTTTCTGAGTTCCCAAAGTATAATTTATTTGTATCGATGTTATCTCAAAACTCAATATGGAAAATTTTTCTGGACAAAGGTAGTATCATATATCTCGGCTGTATTATTTTCATCCTGTAACTTTAAGTTTTCCTTGGTAGTTATCAACGGAGCAGACAGGGCACTTCTTAATTTTGGACTGTAACTCGTTTAATTCTGGCAGATCTAAGAAATTTATCTTTTGAGAGTTCGAACATAATTGAAAGGAGCTGAAAAAACCTTCTTGTGGAAACTTCAGGCCAAATAGATCCTCTAGGGCTTTCCTGGAACTCGTAGTATTCCTGCTATTGAACTCCATATTTGAGTTTAATTTTGGTCTAGGGCCTAGTTCACTGGCAGGTTTTCCCTTTTCAGTAGACCATTATTTTGTAGGTGACCATAATTAGTTCTGAGTCTAAGTGCTTCATAACCTCAAGAAAGGTAATGGTGTTTGTCATATTCTAATTTACATCATTCTTCGGCATGCTGGACTGTAGTTTCCCCAGTATAACCTAAATCAATGTCTCTCGTGAGTTATTACTGATTGAATCTTTGTTCGGTCGCAGCCTGTTCATAAATGGATGGTTCGCCATATTTACTTTCCATGCTTGCGCAATGGGATTCCCAAGGTAATCTTTCTCCTACTTTGCAGTCTGGTTTGAAAAGTTTGTTTATCCAGTTGCTTTTGTTGGAGTGTAAATTTGTAGTCTATTTTTGTACTAGTTCATCTAAATGATCAAAATTTCGTGTTCTGCAAGTTCATACTTCGCCTCTTATTTCTCTCTCTCATTTAGAACTCCCGTTTGGTATGCTTAGCTTCGTAATTTTATACATTAAGCACTGATGAACCATTTTTAGGGGCATGCTGTGATTTTTGCCAAGTGTCACTGTTTCAGCCTGTGGACAGACCTTAAGTAGATTAACTGTTATGGGTGGGATCTTTTCCTGCAGGGTGGTCAGCTATTTGCTTTGTTATCTTATCATTTGAGTTTTGTATGTGGAAACACAATAGCGTTCCTTTATGGTGTGTTGCATTTTTCTTTAGTGAAAGCATGTATAGTAGAAATAATTTAAATACGGATGGTGCACCTGGAATTGTTAGTTCCTGAGTTTTATTCAATGCAGTTTGACAATGTTTTGTGATCCTGACTTATTCCTTTGGGTGCAGGGGGCTGCAATATTGATTGCCTTTCTAGTATCAGCCATCTTCCATGAGGTATGGTGTTATTCATGTTATCAATCCGTGGGAGATGCATGAATAGATGACCCAATGTGTTTGTGTTACTTTGTTGATTGCTCATTTGTATATTTTGCAGCTGTGCATTGCTGTTCCATGTCACATATTCAAGTTTTGGGCATTTATTGGTATCATGTTTCAGGTAGTTGCGTTTACTTGTATGGTTTTGCATCTTTCTGAAGATGTCTAATGTATCATTATGTGCTTTTCGTTTGGGCTGCATCTGACCAAGCGGATCCCTTTATTTTGAGCAGGTTCCATTGGTTATATTGACAAATTATTTGCAAGCCAAGTTCAAAAATTCTATGGTAGGTCCCCTTTTGTTTGTGGCGGTGGCTCTTTTATCCTGTATGACTCTTTTATCCTATATTTTTACAGTATCTGTTCATTTTAAATGGAAGTTAATTGATAAATGTTTTGCAGTTTTATGATTTTATCTAGTGAATAAAAGCATAGTCTTAGATTGTGTGCAACGTGTGATCGTGTCTCGGTCTCATTAGAAAAAGAAATAGTACGCTTCTTTAAATACAAAATAAGTTGCAATGCATAAAATGAGTGATTTATTACGTCCTCCTCACAATAGGTCCTGTTTGTTTAGTTTTAACAGGACTATTATTATAGGATGGAAAAAGTATCATAGTTTATCAGTTTATGCCTTTAGAAAATAGCCGTCTGAATATTGTCATATTACAACTTTGGAGGAATGTATGAAAACTAAGATGGGAGGGGGTTATGCTGGTTTGGTACTTTTCGTTAACCTATTTACATACTGTTACAGAAGCTTTTCTGCCGAGATTGGTTTCTTCTGCTCTCTCCATTTTGTGATAACACTGTTTTTATTGCTGCAGGTCGGGAATATGATGTTTTGGTGCTTTTTTTGCATTGTTGGTCAACCAATGTGTGTATTGCTTTATTATCATGACTTGATGAACAGAAAAGGTAAATCAACATAACCACATCAATAGGAAAGATGAACTTGTTTGGTGATGAAATTGAAATGGGGGGGACGGACTTGATGGATTCAAGTGGCCCAAAGGTCCTCGCAATAGTAACCCTTATCCGCAAACTCACACGCTGGCATCAGTACTTGGACTTTCAGTGGTTTTTATTATTGCCTTTGTGATACATACTGGCCATGGGGTTGGTGTAATTTGTAGTAAATCAATTTGGGCTGACAGTTTTGTTCTGAGATGTGCCATTAACAATGGCACTGAATGCACCCAATGAGAAGCGACAAGTTGTAAATTACAGTGAGATTGAGAGTCATGAGTTTGTACCTTTCAGAAGCCTGTAAATTCATTTTCACATGACAGATATGGTTCTTGTTGAAACTTGAAAGTGTTTTGCAGGCTTATGCCTTAATTGGCCTAAATTTCGTAGATATTTCCACTCTTCTGCATAGGAATGCTTTGTTTGTTTAGCTTCAGAAGTTGGTAGTTTGTAGTTTGCGCACGTCGGAACTCTTGATATTGGGGATTATATGTTGATATTCATAATGGATTTGTTCTAGGGGTCATAATAATGGATTGGTTAAACGGAGCACCATACATTAATCATGTTTCATTTCCAGAATGATCTACTCATATGTCTGGATCATGTTTACCAGAGTGATACTGATCTGATCTGATTTACAAAGACTAGAGACACCAAGGCACCTGTAGAAACATCTTACAAGGACTAAGACTAGGTACATTCATTCAGTGCATTATGAAGAGTTAAAAGAACAATTCGATTAATGTTTCCCGCTTATAGGTTGCATCGTTTGAAAATGCGGTTTCTTATAGGATGATCTTATCCCGGAGAAACGCGATCTTAGAGTCTCTATTAGTTTTATGGAGTGATACGAGTTGACTTAAAAGGACGTATAAACAAAAGACTTCACAATTGGACTGTTGATTGATTGATGATCATTTACAAAATTGGAGATTCCTAACATACCAAAAGACAACAGCAGCAAGCCCAAATTTTGCTGTGGTGCCAATTGCAATTTGAGTAAATGTGCTAAGCCGGCGCTGATTGGTTTGGACGTACCGGCTGCACATGATAACTACTCCTCCCTTACTAGTCTCTTTTCTAATTAGTCTTTTCTAGTAGGCCACCGACATAACGAAACCACTCCCTTCAATGCATCAGGCCATCTCCACTCTATAAACCCTCCCCACTCTTTAGCATCTTTTCCTGTTGTCAAAAATTGTAACAGGGTCAAGGGTCATTGTTAGTAAAAGAAAAGTTTTGATCTTTGGAGTTTTCTCTGCTATGGAAGAATTCAGATCTAACTCGTACAGTGATGGACGGAACTATCAATTGGAGAGGTACGATTACGGCAGCAAAACCTACTCTAACCCGAACCCAGTTGGGCTACAAGATCTCAGATGTTACAGTGCTTCGTATGCATCATCTTCGGCAGCAAATAATGCCCAGATGGAGATGCCTAAAGATGTGAAGTTCAAGAAAGGGAAGTCCACTAATGGGAGTATCTCCAAAAGTTGGAGCTTTAGCGATCCTGAGTTGCAGCGGAAGAAGAGGGTTGCTAGCTACAAGGTTTATGCTGTTGAAGGTAAAGTCAAAGGGTCTTTCAAGAAGAGCTTTCGGTGGATTAAAGAGAGGTACACTAAAGTGGTCTATGGTTGGAGATGATCGCCATAGAGATATATATATATATATATATATATATATATATATATATATGTATTTGCTCTGTTTGTTTTGCTGAGCTGTCATATCTCTGTGTCTTCTGATGCATGGAATTCCTGGCTAGGGAGGAATTGGATTTTGACGAGTGTAGAAGGTTGTCAGTAGCCTTGAATTTTACTGTAAAATAATGCTTATGCATGTGATCAATTTGTCTGCTGACTCTGCTCTATGCTAAATTTACTAATATTTAATTCCTTCCTCAACTTTTGCAACATCATTGTGTTTTTTTTTTCTCCCGTATGGTGAAGATATGCTATTGCCTTTGATTCTTATACTGAATATCTGCTAAGTGGATGTGGCTCCTCAGGAGTGAGGGAAAACTTTATAATTAGGTATATATTTTTGCTCTGCATTTGATTGAATTGCTCCTAGAAGATTTACATGTCATTAGTTCGTGTAGAGGGTTTTTTGGGAATTGAACTAATTACCTATGCTCTCTGAACTTATAAAGGTTAGGCACTCTTTGCTTGCAGACATAGTTTTAAGCAAATTCTTAGCTCTTGTTCACTTGTGGTCCTTTATATTCAATTGGGAGTTGATGAACTTAGCTTAGCTTCTAGCTACGTTACAGCTTGGCTGGTTTCTCAAGATTCTTGATTATTTCATTTCCTAATGTTAGCAATGAACAGTGGTCAAATAGGATCATTTTCTTGTCGAGACCCCTTACTCTTCATCTTCATGCTCTAATTTATGAATGATGTGGAGCAGCAGTTACTGAGTTTGAGTCAGAGAAACTAGAGGGCCTTATTGGGTTGTAGTGTCTTTCGTCAACCATGTGTTATCGGTTGAAGATTGTGAGGTTTTATCTAGTTTGTATTCCTGGTTTTTCTAATAATCATAGCCAAAAGGACGTAAAATCAAACTAATGTGGTTAGGGCAGGGGGATAATTCATATGAAGCAAAATGGCACAGTCTCCCGCTGAATATTGTGGCTTTGTTTCGAACTCTCTTGTTTTCAGCCTGCTTCCTAGTACTGTGGATATAATTATTTTTTGCTAATAGCTATGATGCTTATACATAACCCTTTTTCTTTGATATCTTAGAGACGGGTTAATAATGGGCTCATTTGAATGTAATTGTTGCATACAGAGGCGCTTCTGTATGGTTTTTGATACTATGGCACAGAAAATCCTTTTACTGAGTCTTGCTATAAGAATTTCTGCTCCGTTACTCTGGGTTTGTGACTTGTAGTTGCTTGTAATGACTGGTTGATATGGACTTGCCCTATTGTTAACCGACCGGATCTAGCATTAGTATACCTACCCTGCACTCTTTGTGAATAAACCTGCACCATGTGGTCAATTCCAGCTGCTGTGTTTTTGTCCTCTGTTGCTTTATAGCACGTCTGTATATGGGGCTGAGATGCTAACGTTAAATAGGATCCAAGTCCTTCTTGGTGCATGCATTCTCTGTCATCTGTCTCTCCAGCTCAAGGGAGCTGCTGGCAGGCCTTACTTACCTTCCACACTAGAAAGCCAACTTCACTTTACTTGTGATAGTGCGGAAGACATTAGGGGTGCTACTGCAGATCGCATTCTGCTCTCTGCCTTGAACTAAGATTTAAAACAAGTTCCACTAATTACATTTGAGACTACTTCATAATCTTTACCAGCTGCGCCATCGGCTGTGGCGAAGCATATCCCCTTTCTGGCCATCTTAGCGGCTTCCAGGCACGGCCAAAGAGACCAACCAGAATATTTTCTGGAAAAAAAAAGAAGAAGAAGAAATCGAGATGAATTAAAAGTGGAACTACTACGTAACAGATCACAGAGCAGAAAAGAACGAGGAAGAGAACAAGGAAAAGGAGCCAAAGTGGAACTGGGTCAGTCCAGATCACTGGGGTAATCTAAAAATCATATCTTCTGATCATTCAGTTGAAATTATTTCAGAAAGACAGATGCATAGCTAAATTCAGATTGCCCAATAATTCCCTTCAATCAATCCCCCCAAATACCATCCACGCGAAATAAGGGTGGATCGTCTGTTAGGAAGTCCCACCCTCAGAAATTCACTGCTTCTAGTTCTTGGTAAGTAAGTCCCCGTTGTAAAGACTATCGTACACAATGTTGATAAAATCAATCATAAATTCAAGCCCCAGAAGCATCAAAACCAAGCATTATTTTCTACTCTTTATTCCTTTTTTTTTTAATTAAAAAAAAAAAAGAAAAAGAAGAAGAAAAACTTTTTCTGCAGTTGTTTCAGCAAAGGGGCGCAGTTCCTCCCACAAGGTTGTTTCCTTCTATTTTTGCGAGGCAGAGTGCATTTGTTTGGAAGCCACGTACTAAGTTCAGAGCTCAACCAGGAAACGGACAATAAAAGTAGCACAGAATGAGTATTTTGTTCGTGAATTTAACCCCATCCAACAGAGATGTTTTAATTCGTTCTCCAAAAAAAAAAAAAAAAAATTTCCTTGCCCTGTTTTACTGTTTCCATCTCCGTGGGCATGGCACCCTCAACCGTCTGGCTTTCCAATTCAATAAATCTGTTAAAAGTGATGGATGCTCCTGCTGCTGCTGCTGCTGCAACTGAAAGTCGCGAGATGGATTTGTATCCCTATTCCCTAGTACTTAGCTTGATGAAATGATTAATATGCAGAAATGGAAACAGAAAACGAGAACATTTCTAATCATGTTGCTAATTCCCCATTCTATTTAGGAGGAAATGTTGCTATTTTGAACTCTGACTAAAATTAGTTGTTGTTCCTAACTGTGGAACTCTAGTCCACTGAAAAAAAGAAGGCACTGGCTTTAAGAATCAAATGCTACTATTCCTTCCATTCCATTTTAATAAAAACTTTTACTTCATGGAACCGCACCAAACTCTCACACTTGTAAAAGAACGAATAGCATTTGCTAAGACAGTTCTGCAACTAAGATGTCGATTTCGTTCAATGAACGGAAACAAGATGTAACCTATTACATGAAGCTTCTGGCCTCCTATATTCCTATGTTAAATCAGTAATTTGATCCAGAAAGCAAGATTGCATACACGAAGTTGGAAAAGAAAAATATGTTCCGACATTTCCATGGATGGTTTCTTTTACAATCGAAACCTGAACATGGGGGGACTAAAAATCACACCCTAAAGAATTAAATTAAAATGGTAGGAAGCAACTACCTTTTGTTGCCACTTTTTCTTTTAATTAAAAATGCAAGGAAAAGGAAATTTTAATAGAAAATTTTAATAAAAGACGTTACATAAATGTCTGCCCTGGTTTAGGCAAAGGCCAAGGTCCAGGGCCTGTGGAAGAAATGAGAAAGGTGGCGACAAATCATTTGACATGTCAAAAATCCGAGTTCTACACGGCCTGCAACGCAGAGACACGTTTCAAGGTTTCTTCATACACAGTTTTCCCTGATACGATTAAAACAGTTACTCTCGTCACTCACTTAAAAAACAGAGCAGAGATTGAGATTCAAGAGTATGTCCAAAAACTCAAGACAGAGCTTCATCTCTTTTGTCCTCCATTTGCGCATTCTGGTACTCCTTTTTATTTTCAATCTGCACTTTTCAATACCACAACTTCCAGAAAAATGCAACTTCCAAGAGCTTTCTAACGATTTTTATATGATATCACACGACATTCATGATGTACAAGAATGTAAAATGTAAGTATTCAGGAATGAACCACCTCAATCATCAAATCGTAGGCTCTCTATTCCTTTGAGTGCAGAATCAAAGTTCTTCCCACTAGAATTAATCTTGCCCGCCGAAATGTGCCTGGGGTCTGAGGATCCAACAAGCGGAGATGTCCTTTGTCCACTAGACGTTTTCTGCGCTGTTCCTGAACTAGGCTCGGGTGTCCGAGATCGGCTAGGATCAGACTCATTTCCTAGTGCAAATGTATCACGACTACCAGTGATAGCACTTTTTCTCAACGACCCACTAGATCTACCAAGGAAGGTAGAGTTTGATAACTGCAAAAAAACAGGTCCAGTTATAAAATACTATACTCACAGTGCAGACATTATAAATCTCGTCTAAGAGACCCGTCGTCAAAGCTGAAGTTATCAAGTTCAAAAAAAAACATCATGCCAAAGAGAAATCCAACAGAATGCTTTACAACTGAAACAACTCAAGGAAAGGTCCTTACCACAATAATAAGTAAAAAGAACATTAAAAAGTGATAATAATAAATAAAATGGAAAACTCTAGCTGGATATGATTACAAATAAATAAATTAAACAACAATTCATCTTCGACGCAGAGAACAACAAAAATCCCATCAACCAATGCTGGATGAAAATGACAAAAAAAGAAGAGCCACAAGGGAATAAAAATAATAGCAAATGATAGAGGACTAGTTTTGCATGAATCTGGAGTACAAGAAAGGTAATGCAGAACAAGTAACACAAAATTAAACACAAAGCGTGAAATAAATATGCAACATTAACAACTAACCATAACGTCTTTGCTTGTTGAATCATTCGTGATAGGGCTCTTCTGCTTAGATAGATTGCCTGAATTTAAAAGTTGACCAGATCTCCTTCGTGAAGGATCTGCTGACGAAAACCCAGCTTGTCTTCCATCTTCTTCACCTGCGAATAGTCAGGAAAGCAAACAACAAGATGTCAATGTACGCGAATCTTTTTCTTAACTACAAGGAACATAGAGAAAATAAGGGAAACTAAGGCAACGGATAGCGATACTAAGGGTAAAAGGATTATATGCACATCATCACAACAGGACGCATCCTTTGAGGATTTTGAGGGAAGCATTTTTACAACAAATAAAATTAGAGTACCTTGCTGCCTCTCAATGTTGGGAATAGCCGGGGGCATTCCTGAGCTTGTTGCCGCACTAGGGCCCTAAAACAGTCGAAAAAAAAGAAGTTCATATAGCACTCAAATGTTAGCAGGTTAAAAGAACAAAAAGAGCAGTATATTAAAACACTTACAAGAGCACGAGAAGGAGGAGCAGCAATCTGTGACTGTTGATACTTCAGGATTGTCCAATCAAAAACATAATCAAACTGGAACCCTAAACACAATGCAAGGGGGTTAAGTGCACGTCTTATTTAAGAGAATAACTTTCATGAAGCGCTCATGACAGAAACAATAATCTCGAAAATACGACTCAAGACCATATTCGTTCAAACCTTCACGAATGAAAAGATCCCGGAATATTCGCTTCAGATAGGCATAATCAGGTTTATCCTCAAAGCGAAGTGATCGACAGAAGTGAAAATAAGACGCAAATTCAGACGGATAACCCCTGCACAACGCCTACAGAATAGCAAATCATCAATTAAGTATCTCACAGGAGAAAAGATCTCAGCCTAATTGATCAAGAGGAGAAAAGATAGAAAAGATATAACCACATTAATACACACGCACACATCATCCAAGAAGTACCTCAATAGAAGTTGAGACCTTCTTTTCACTGATTTTTTCATACTTTTGCTTCTTGGTACCAGCTTTCAGCCCCTGCCATGGAAGACTAATAAAGCAATGGGGTGTCAATAGAGCTTAACAGTACGTGTAAGGGATAAAAGGAGGGATAATACCAAAAACTTCACCTTCCTCTCAAGAAATACATAAGAACATATCCAAGAGATTCCAAATCATCCCTCCTGCTTTGTTCTGACCAAAAAAAAAAAAAGAAAAAGAAAGTTACAAGAGGATTACATGGAGACCTAGAAAATCACATTCGCAGCATAGAAGTTGAGTAAACCACAAAGTAAAATTAATAGATAAATACTAACCAATCCCAAGGTGGGTATTCATGCTAGCATATCTAGCAGTTCCAGTCAAATTCTTGTTTTCCCTGCAATGATTAGGGCGAGACAAGATGTTGAGATTTAAAAAATTGCAGCGGAAAACTAAGCGTTCATATGCCTATTAGCATGGTAGAAATTCAGTCCTCAAAAGTACTGGAACATAAATATCTTAATAGAGGCTCAGAAGTTAAAAGAGAAAAGCAGACAACAACAAATTTAGCCCCTTGGATATAAGGATGGCAAAACAATGATTCAGCAGATGTAAACAGATTCTTAAACAAAAGAAAGAATTGGTAATGGTTAGCAACTTGTTAGTGGAAGAAAATGCGAACACTATTCTCTTTCATCCAAATATGAGCTACACTTCGAAGAGAGGAGCTTAAAGAATATAGCACAGAAAGATCCACAACTACATTTCCTGCGTTTTTAACCTAAATGCTCATAGTGGCATATTTTCCTTTAAAAAGAGTCATAAAAAGAACGCCAAACATGATTATACACATGTGCTTCTGTGAACCAGTGGAGATGATCAGACGACAAAGATTTATAACAAAATTCAGATGAGAATTACAATGATAAAAGAAAAACACGTCAGCAAATTCTGAAACTAAAGGCATGTGCAGCAAACATGAAAGATGCTCACCCTACAGATCAACATAAAGAAGAAGCAACAACAAACGTCGCATGTATCCATTTTGCTCTGCCAAAACACATTTTATTTTACAAAAATTATGTCCATAATATTTTTCCTCTTTTTTCACGAGTCATCTAATCATATGAATTGAGTCCCCATCAACAAATGACCGCCGCAAGCTAGAAATGTTGGATAACACACTTTACCCAGTCAAAAAAACTGCCTTCAGAACAGTACTAACAATATACTAGCATGAAAAGAGTTCACCATATAACTACATGAAGACATAATCATTCTCACCTGTAAGGAATATGTTGGTGGGTTGCAGTATCTCTATATTTCTTAGCCAGACCAAAATCAATAATATAAACCTGCGAGATGAAGAAGGCAAGCCACCAGGAAAATTAGAAACTAAACAATTGTGTGTTTATGATAAAAGGAAAGAAAACACCAACATGTCATTGCAACCTGGTTTGCACGACGTCCTAAGCCCATAAGAAAATTGTCTGGCTTTATATCACGGTGTAGAAATGATTTTGAATGAACAAATTCAACCCGGTTGATCTGAAATGACATCATAAAAAGTCCATCACTATATAAGAACTTTAAGAAATAACCATTAAGTCCCAATCAAATCAAAGAACTGACCATTTGATCAGCAAGCATGAGAACGGTCTTCAAAGAAAGTTTCCGACTGCAAAAATTGAATAAATCCTCAAGGCTAGGGCCAAGCAAATCCATCACTAGGACATTGTAGTCTCCTTCAACTCCAAACCATCTCACATTTGGAATTCCAGCTGCACATTAACCAACCATAAATAAAAAACAGCCTTTACGATCAAAATCTTATCAAATACAAATGGGAAAAAAATGTCCAACTCATTACTTCCTCCCTGCAGAATTCTGTATAGCTTTGACTCATATAGTAGTTGAGGATGCTTCGTCTTCACATTTTCCTGAGCACAGTTTAACGAAAAGTTTAAATCAAAGAAATTTTGAGTAAGAAACAACATATTACCAGAAATTACAAGGTAATTCCAGCAGCTTCAGCAAAAAGGAATTCAAAGATACACTCATCAAAAAGCACTTCCCCCATACAATTAAGATAGTCCATTCTATTTAACTATATCAATAACAGAACAACACATAATCAAAAAGCAATCGCTCCTAGTAAATAAGTGATGTCTCGCCATGGGGTTTAAAACAGTCATAAAAAGCATTTCCATTTAGACTGATTCCATGCCTTCATCTAAACTATAAAATCCCAGCTCCATTATAACCTTGAAATCTTAAAAAGTGCAGCTTGAAGTACTCAGTTTTGATTTAAACATAAGGAGAACAGAACAGAGGGGAATAGAAAATGAAGGAAAAAAAAACACTAATTTCTATTTTTTAAAATAAACACGCAAACAGACACACAATCAACTGCTTCTAAGGCTAAAAATATATAAAGGTAGACATGAATCATCGTTAAAAACAGAAGAAACCACGGAGTTCAAAATTAAATAAAAAGTAAAATAGAAAAGAAAAAAAAAAAAAACCCCACATACCAGTTTGATTGCAACTTCTTCATTCGTCTGGATATTAGTCCCTGCACCGCGCGACAACCAAAAAAAAAAAAAAATCCCAGAAGAACATAAGAAATCATGGCTGTTCACCAAGTAAATTTTCAATTGGTAAAAAAGTTAACAGGAAATTAACAAAAGAATGAAAAAAAAAAGTCAAGAGCCAAACCCAAGTAGATCTCCCCAAATGATCCGCTGCCAATTTTCCGACCGAGCCGATACTTGTTACCGACGCGAGGCTCCATGAAAGCAAAGAGAAGTCGCCGGAGATCTAGGATTTCAATTCACCGGCCGAACAATCGGTAAATTAAAAGGGAAAAAACCCCCCAATTTGCTAAAACACTACAATTATGCTAGGGTTTTTTCGAGAACGCAACTAAATTAGTCTTCATAGTGTTAATTCCCTATCTTCTGAATATACAAAGAGGCCAAAAAAAAAAAAAGGAAAAGCTACTTCTAATTATATACAAAATACATTAGGGACGATACACTAAAAAAGAAGAATAATTTCAATTTATATATCTCTATAAGGATTTTTCCCTTTCTTTTTTTTTTCTTTTTCCTTTTATGTTGATGGAGGGGGGTTGATCTAACGAACTTTAAAGGTTCAGTGTGTGAGTGTGTGTGGGTTTGTCTGGTGTGAAAATGAGGGTCATGGACTCTTGCGTGTTAGGTTCACGCGCTTTAACGATCGTCACTGCCCAAAGTTTCGGTATCTGTAATATGGAGAAGATTTTGAGGGATTAGGTTCCGCTGCTTTCGTCACGTGACTTTTGGTCTATCTGGAACCTCATGCGTCACGTGATCCAATTTCCTTATTTCTTCCCCCCTTCTTTCTTTTTCTTCTTTTTACTCCCTCTGTCCCAAAATTATTGTTCAGTTGAGATTTCACTTTTAGTATATTTTAAACTAGAAAATGAAAACCTAAACTAGACAATAATTATGGGACGGAGGGAGTATGTTTTTGTGTTTCTAATTCATTTTTTTGGTTTTGCTTCCTTTTGGGTTACTCGCAGAATTCGAGTTTGGAGCGTTTACTAAGCGTAAACTAGATATATTTCTTTAGATGGAAGAAATAGTAATTGGTACATATTCTTGATTTTGTTACTTATAATTCGCATGCCTAATTTCTTCTTCAATAAATTTTTATTTTTATTTTTTTGGTTGAAACTGGATAAATATTATGTTAGAAATTCTGACCTCGAAGGAACCGTCATGAGGAATGCAAGGTAATGTAACAATCTGTCTAGAGAATGATGATGCATTGCTTTAGGGCTTCTGATTAGGCTAACTATAGGAGCTATAAAACGTTAGCTGCTAAAACATTATAATAATATAAAATCATCAAGTTGCGCTGTTAGGAGCTAGATTATTACAATTTTGCAATTTCATCATAGATTATGGGATATCTATTGCCCTCCAAGGCTCCAATGAAAATCGGTTTCAAAATGCTACAGACAGCACTACACTTAACAAAATATAATAAAAAAACGCAAAAAAAAAAAAATTGAAGAAAGACTCCAAAATGGAATTTAATTAGTAACACAATTTGATAGCTACAACTCATTTGTGCATATTTGGCAAGGCTAGAGAACGTTAGAGTTGCAAGACTGGGGAGTGGGGATGCCTATGAAACGGGAATGCATTTCCTTCTAGTGTGTTGAGATAAAACTTGGCTTTAGTTTTTAGTAAGGCCTCATAAATAGCTCTTATTATTCATTTCATGATGAGTCTCACTCTCTAGCTTGTCAATTGATAATGATTGGTTGTGAAATGCAAAACATTAATGACTACACCAAAACACTTGCTTATACGGCAGAATTGTCATTCCCCATTGAAATTCTTAAACCAGTCACTATCAACGGGTACTTAAATTCAAGTAATAAATATATTAAATTATTTTAAATTATGATCAGATTTTAAAATTTAGTATGACCCATACAGTAGTGAATGAAAATATTTATATGAAAACTTTTGTCTATCAAACAAGACGTCAAATTAGTCGGATAATAATTTCGGATACCAATATACACCAAGATAAAATTCAACTACTCTGCTGATGAGTTTTTATCCAATAATAATGAATCCTCTGACATATGCCATCTCAGAACAAGCTGCCAGCCGAAAGAGTTGATGGATTTGGGCTAAAGCAAAAACGAATTGGTCAAAATTGCAGTTCCCGTGTCTTCCCTGACTCGCGGGCTAAACAACAATTTTCATTTGATGAATGGGCAAAAACGCAGAAATAACACTTCCAACTTCCAACTTCAAAGTCTTCCACACCTTTGCTTTCAGCCGCATCTACATTGGTCAAACCCATTGACAGTTCTAGAGGTCAACTGTTGACTTAATTCCCAACTAGAGGACATGGGCAAAAATAAAATGCATTGAATGTTACTTCTAAAAACATATATAATCTCTCTGTCTTAAAATAATTATCATTTTATCATTTTGAGATGTGAGAAATAATTGTTTACATACATCATTGCGGACCGGGTTTATAGGTCGGTCCGGTTCTTGCCTTGTTTGGGTGGGGGGGGGGGTGGTTTCACATTAAGTCGTAGGTTGACCATTGCAGCCCGGAGTCCGCAGTCAAACCCCGTTTTTTGGGTTATTTGAAGTTTTGAACAGTCATTTGAATTGAACGTATTGACTCCAGTAGTTACCCGATAAAGAGTAATAATTGGGTAAAACATATGGATGATTTACTACTTCACAAATGCAAAATCTGTTATAAGAAATGATCAATTTTGTATCATTGAATTTGTTGTTAGAAAGAAAGATATACAAACAAATGAAGCACATCAATTAGGATCAAATGAAGGCTGCTGCTGATGGAAGTTTGAGCTAAGATGATGGGTACTAAAGATTGAAAGAATTCCTAAAAACCTAAAAATGAGCCAAAACTAAGTAAAATATTGGCTCAACTGTGTGACCTAGTAAAAATTTTGAAAAAAGAACTTTCAGATTAAAAGAACCAAAGAATGAACATTCAGGTTAACGTCCTGAATCTCGAGGATCAAACTAGTTGAGCCGAATGGAGCATCAGCAGATGATCCTGTTAGTTTGTTTAGGCTTTGCTCCCAAGTCCGGGTGTCAGTAGAAAAGGAAATCCCGTTAATCTCAGATCTCAATGAACAGGTGCAACGGGAGTCCGGGGACTAGGTAGTCCAATGTATGCAAGTCTTGGAGAAACATGAATCTTTGGGCTTGGTCGCGGGGATGGAATAGGACCGAAGTTGAAGAATTGTGCTGTGTCCAAACGAGGAGACAGGTTAACGTGCTCAAGTGCTCGGAACTGTAACTCTGTTGGATAGTCGCGGACACAGCTGATTCTAGGTCCTGTTCCAGTACTCCATTTGCTTGACAAGTGCTTAGCCATGCTATACACGGGCTTATTATCATTTTGTTGATCAATAGGTGCAGTTGGCTCCTTTCTGTCTGAGCCATCCACATCCATTGTGCTTCTGTCCTGTGATTCTAAATCGGCTGAAGAGCTAATCTTGTTAAGAGCGTTTGATTCCTCATTAGCAGCCTTGAATGAAAAGTCATCATCATCAACCGCACACCTCTGCTCAAAAGAGGAAATGTAAAGGACAATTAGACATCAATAATAAGAAGTTAACAGTACCGCAAAACTTTTGGTAGGAATTATTGAAATGAAGAACTTGATTGACGAATGTACCTTAACGTTTGATAGGTCTACACCGTTCTCCTCCAAGAAGCTAATGAATTCTCTGAAATTCTCTTCAGTTGGGTGATAATGACCACTGTATGGCCAGATAGCCTGTAACATGAAAAATGACTATTAATAAACACAAAAGTAAACTTCTATTAGTACTCTAACAACTCCTTTTCTGTTTGTAGTCGTTATCAGAAGCTCATATATTTACCTCGAGGACTCCATCGTGCGCGACAAGTCTTCCAGCTGCTGTAATTGCTCCACCAGCTAAAAAACTTGAGTGCTGAAATTTGCCTTTCTTCTTCTGTCCAACATACAAAGTCCTAGATGTGCTAAGAACAAATATCCACTTTGAGCCCTCAGTTGAGTTGACATAGATGCCGCTTTCTCTATAAACAAGCTTCCCATTTTCGATAATTACTTCATAAGATTGTCTCTCTTTCTGATAAAGCAACAACCAACAGAAAAACAAAGTGTAAGATTGAGAAATGATGAGTTGTGGGTAGCAATTTACACATGATCAATGCATACAAGTTGGTACTGAGTGTGTAATTCACAAAGCCAACATACCGGTTGTAGATACTGGATACATTGTTGGTGCAGTCTTGTCCGTGGGCATTTGTCTAGATTTATTTCTTTTCCAGCTCCAACATCCAACCTACATATATTGCAGATCTCATTTTATCAGAGGAATGCAGCTAAATGAAATGAGTTTATTAGTGCATTATCATCAACCATCTAATATGCATAAGAACTCAACTAAAAGCCCGACAAAGATAACTCAAGCCGAAAATGTTATAGGAAACAAAAGCTCACCAGAAGAAGAAAGGTTCGGCGCTTTCACTTTTAAACCAAACATCGTAATAGAGGTGTAAGTTGTGTCCATATCGGTGTCGTGGATCAATCTGCAAAAGAAATGAAGTAATTAGGCTTTGAACAGCTAGGAGAAGACTTGCTGCGGCTCGAGACCTAACAAATCTTTTTTTAAAAAAAAAAAACAAAAAAGGGCTAAAAATACTTACAGCTTCAAGCCAATGTTGTAAGGCCAACTTTTGAGCCTTCTCATCTTTGGACAATCCTTTACCAACCTGAGTATACATAAGAAGGAAATTCAGTACTGAACTCAATAAATCATTCATTGAAGACAAATGAGCAAATTGAGCTTAAAAGAAGAACATAAATAGTTGGGATTTGGACCTTTGATACTCTTGTTTTTGCTCTAGCCCATCGGGAAACAGCGGTCTCCTGTTTTTCATCATTGAAGAACAACACAGAGCTCTGCTTAAGAGCCATAGAGTCCAATGCCTTCCACCTAAAAACCATCAAAAACCAGAGTCAACTATCCGAAAAAATGACTGCAATTCAAGTAGTTTGTTTGAATCAAGTTCTTTAAAACACATACCATAGTTCTTCCACCACAACAGCACAATCTGCAAGATTCCTTCGGGTCCGATAACTCTTGTAGACTTTCTGAAGCTTCACAGCAGCAGCATCGAGTTCGTTAACGGGCCGTGGAGAGAAAAGGATAGCAGGATCCGGAAGAACGATTTTGGGGCTGGACTTAATGGGCCAAGTTGCTCTTCCATTGTTGTTGATGTTGTAATTGGGCTCAGCGATGTCTTCAATCAGACTCTTGAATGAAGGACTCCGGTCAAGCATCAATTTCATGGGCTCGCATCTCGTTAAATTTATGTTGTTTTTCCGGCAAAAATCGCCGGACACGTTTGAATCCAAGGCACTTCCGGCGGGTCCTGCTCTGAAACCCTCTGCACGCACGGTCATCTCTATGTGGTTTTCAGGGGAATTTGGGCTCTGCCAAAATGAGAAAATCATTGCGTTCAATTCACTTTTTTCTGGGCTGAATGGATTCATGATAACAAAGGGTATAGAACAAAATCACATGCCAATAATTGATTCAGAATTCCTTTCTGATTCATTAAATCATTTATTCAGGGAAAGTTCTGTTGTAATGGGGTTTACTCAGTTTAAAAACAGCTGTCTTCATTTCCCTTAATTCAGCAGCATACAACCCAAAATTAAACCAAACTTCTGTTGAAATTGAAAGATCATTTCCTAACAGATAACAGGCAAACAACTAAAAAGTTGACTTAAAAGGGAAAAAAAAGGTAAAAACTACCACCATCACCATGTTTGATCACTCACCTCCAAATGGAAAGATCAAAGCTTGAGATGTTTTTTTTTTTGGGGGTTTGGTTCCTTCAAAGTGTTTTTTTAAGGGTTGTTTTCTGGGACGGAAAAAAATATCTGTAATAAGAAATCTATGGACAACTTTCACCAAGTTAATGTTGTTAAAAAAACTGAAAGAAGATATGTGTGTGTGTCTGAATGTTATGACCAGTTTTTCCCTCCTTAAATACAATCTAATTAGTTGTACGGAATTGAGGGCAGAAGAAAAAAGAAATTGGTGCGGAGAATTATTACGTGGTAGACACTTTGGAAACTGTTGGAGAGCAGTCGTTGAATTGAATTTCCTCCTGTAAACCAAAGAAGCTGAACTGAGAAAGTTCTATCCACTTTCAGATTGGAGAAAGGAAAAAATAAAATAAAAAAAAGAAAAACACTCAAAATGAAGGAAAATATTCTCTGCATTTTCAACATAGAGTTTGGAGTTTATTCACTTTTCAAAGGCACGAGTAGTTTGATTAATTCAAACATGGAAAATTACATCTAGCAAACAACTTCACCTGTTTTTTTTTTCTTTTTTTCTTTTTTTTTTCCCTTTTGAAGAAATGCACTATCTACACTTTTTGTCCCTCAAAATCAATGCATCAAAAAACACGAGAGTGGAAGCTAGGGAAACATACAATCTCTCCTGTTTTTGCTTAGTTAATGGACGTTATTTAGGCCTTTGATACAAATTTCATTTATAATAGAGATGAAAATTTTTAATGAAAATTTCAATATTGTTTGTTATGATATTGTTAAAAGAAAATTAACTGTTTTATTTTATTCTCTCCATTCCAAAATAAATATCATACCAATATTTTTTTAAAAAAAAAAGTGCTCATTGGAATATTCTCAGTCAACCTCACTAAAAAAATTATTGCAAATGTTACTATTTATTTTGAGGGTAATTTTAAAATTTTAATACAAAAGTGCATTGGAATCAGAAAACAATACTTATTTTGAAATTTTTTATACTACAATGACACTATTTTAGAATGAAAGGAGTACAAAGTTCCCGATTTCGTCGCTACAAATTTGGGGGAAGTTGTGTGTAATTGTATGCAAGTGAATAAAAAGAGAGAAAAAGGGCGGTCAAAAAAAGGAAGCGTTGGGGTGTGTTGGCGTCTCCCAATGGACCCTTTACCAGTTTCCATAAAACATGTAAAACTAGAAACTATAAGTACGTATATGATGATCCAGTTAAATTTCTCAAACTGGGTAAATTTTATACTCCAATAATTATTTTATATTTTGTCGTCTTAATTCTTTTTTTTTGAGTACGTTTTAAAAGTCAACTTTTTTACTTGGAGTTGTCTAAAGACTAAAGTCTTAACCAAATCACACAGAAACGCGCCAAGAAAACTAGTATAACTGAGTAGAGAAAGATAAGCTGGAAAGTTGATGTAATTTGCCATTGTTATGTAGTAGTACCATCTTGAAATGTCGACCTCAGTTTGTCTTTTTTTTAAGCTTCATCATATGTCACTGCTTCGGCAAGCTTATTGGTTTCCTTGTCTTCCAAGTGGGGATAATTTTATGTTTCTTTTTCTTTCTTTTTTTTTTTTTGTAAAAGAAAGTTTTTGGTCTACCGAGTGGGGAAAATTCGGACGGATCAAAACATGCATTTTAAAAATCGGATATTTTCTTAGCAAGGGTAGATGTATTATTAATTACTTATTGATGATAGAATCAAAATGATACGTTTATGATAGGATCTGTAAACCAATCAAACAAATAAGGAATAGGTTAGTCACAGAAAAATCAATGTATTTTCAGTGAATCAATAATCCATGATGAATATTGATATACTCCCTCCGTCCTATAATTATTGTCCTGTTTAAATTTTCATTTTTAATTAAAATTGTACTAAAAATGAAAATCCAAATTGAACAATAATTATGGGACGGAGGGAGTACTTCTTTCGTTTTCAAAGAATAATAATAATTTATCCAATTATTAGTACGAAAAGAAAGTCGAAATATATATACATATATATATATATATATATATATATATTACCCTAGTGTTAAACAAAGACTTGATGATCGAGGTACTTGCATGACTATAATCGATCGGTATCTTAGCTGTTAAAATGTTAGTTACAAACTAGTATTCAGAGGTGCAATTTTGGTACTACCTCCATTAAAGGATCCACTGTTCTTTTGTCTTCGTTTACACCACACCGAAATAATTTGCTCATGATCCAGATGAAGTAAAGGGCTACTTCCTCTTCTCCTCGTTATAAAGCATTTTAATTTGTCTTAGGTTTATCTTGAATTTCACCTAAGATATTTTTTATTTGAAATAAAAATCTTAAAAATATATTTTAATAATGAGGAGAATACGCCAAATATAAAAATATATGTTTAAGGTTTTTATTTCAATTTAAAAGATATCTTAAGTGAAACCTAGGACAAAATTAAAATGTTTTATAATAAGGGCCGGAGAGAGTATTATATAAAACGCAAAATTGAAATAAACAAATTATGAATAGAAATTAATGTTCGGGCAGTCGTGCAAACACCTGAAGATGTACGAGGTAATTTGCAAATCAGTTATCTGAATTATTGAAGGAGTATTTTTTTCATTATCTAGACCGGATCATAATTTATATACCCATCATATTTTTTTATTTGAAATAGAGATTCTTCAATTTTTTTTTATTTTTTTAAATACTCATTTCATATTTGAAATCACCATTCAGCAGGGTGCTGTAATTACTGTGTCAACTGACTAAGAACTATTGTCATGGCGATGCGAGAAAGTAAAATCAATAATTCAATTTGTTATAATTTATGAATCGTACTATTTTACATATTTTTGTAAATTACGATGTAAGCTATTTTTGCAAAACAGAAAGTATAACATTCTTCATATTTTTAATACATGCCTTTAAAGTTAAGAGACAACATCCTTACGAAAGAGTAAATGAATAGTTGGTCACCGAAAACAATATACTCCATTTGTCTCAGTCAAAATAAGTGTTTAGTCTAAATTTTTAATATCATTTTTACTAAAAATGAGAATTTAATAATAACTCTAATATGGAGCAATTATATAATATTAAAAATATCATAGACAACTTTTTTTTTTTTATCTCTAAACATGACATATCGATATGAAATAGTGATTATCCTATCTCAATATGAATGTTAAATAATATACCATGGCCATGTACGTACTGCTTATTAGAGCCAAGTCATAAAATGATAGTATATGTAATTTAGAAACCGAGTTTTAAATTCTATTAATTCTATAATGATACTCCCTTTGTCCCAAAATTATTGTCTAATTTAATATTTTATTTTTAGTACTAAAAATAAAATCTCAAACTGGACGATAATTATGGGACGGAAGGAGTAGTATTTTTGTTCTATTCAAACATTACTATGAACGGGACATTCATTAATTTGGAACGGCATGATATACACATTTAATTTGAAACTAAATATACTCATACAAAGTTGACTGAGATGGTATGAGCTCATTCAGATAGTCATTTTTAGCAAACAATTTGTGCGTGTGTATTGTTGGATTGGATCTACTGAAAATTCTCAATATGAATGAATCTTCCAGCATCATGTGTTCACATTTACTCGGCAAATAATAAATAACGCATAGCTTATTAAATCGATGTGTCAAAATCACTATCTCTGTTTACTTATATTTCAAAAGGGGGAAAAAAATCAAATAAAAGCCCTTGATAACAAATGGCACGTCTCGACGAACACAACATGATTCATAAATTAAAGTCCAAAATATATCCCTGGAGTTCAACAAAGATTTGATAATGGGGATACTTGCACGACACATCGTGGTTTAACTTTAACCTTGTGAAATTTAATTACCGTATTTTCTACTCTCTCCGTCCCATAATTATTGTCCAGTTTGAGTTTTCACTTTTAGTACAATTTGAACTAAAAATGAAAACTCAAACAGGACAATAATTATTGGACGGAGAGAGCATAATTTATTCTCATTCATCTCAAAATAGACAAAAAGTTTAAAATAAATTGATGTAACAGTTTTAGAGTTACATTTCAAGATTTGATTTTGAAACTTTTCATCGTAAACACGTTATGCCCTGTAATCAGTAGTACGTATTAGGAGCAAGTCATCAAAATTAGGTAAAAGCTCTAATTTTATTTTATTTTTTCAATGAAAGGAGGCAAAAGCTCTCTAATATATATATACTAGTAATTGTTTCCAAACTTATTAAACGGTACCCACATTATTATGATTATATATAGGAGCTAACTGTTCTATTTTTATACCCTACAGAAATGAAAGATACATATATACTTTACGCTTTATAAAAGATGGAACACCGCTCTCACATTTGTTGTGTTCTTTCTTTATTCATTAGTTTTATTCAACTAGATAAGTATATGTGGTAGCTCACATTTGTTGTGAAAAAAAATTTTTGATTTTAGGGTACGATTGTTAACCAACATTTTGTACGTGTGTATTTTGTCGGGATGACTGGAAATCTTTAATGTGAATGAATCAGACAGAGGAAAATTACAGCAATCATGTTCACATTCAGTCGCCAGCATGGTCAAGAAAAGTATCACAACTTACCAATGTCATTAATTTCAGGGTTCGAAACTTCGAATCCTGTTTTGCACCAAAGCTACTCTCTCAACAAATCCATAAAGAAAAACCAAATACTATGTTAAAGTTTTAATCATAATTTACTGACAAATAATTACATTTTTAAATGGTGGTCAATTTTTTTTTTTTGTTAAAAAAAAACAGATTTGAAACTTGGATAAAAATTCATCAAATCTATGACCATTCAAAAAGAAAAAAAGGATATTACGTTGATTTGTTCGACGATAATAAAATGGTCAAATTAGTAGAAATCCTTTTTTTTTTTTTGTTACAACATAAAAATCTGGCAAAAAATTATTACCAAAAATGATCTATTTGCATGTTATTTACTTTTTCTTTCCCATGTATATTATTCTTGGTGTCAGAAATCGTGGCCTGTCTAATTCATATTTGATCGAACCAGGTCTGGAAGCTAATTATTTTGACTACATAACAACTAAAGAACACTTCTTCCATAATGAAAGTTTATGTTATATCTCACCTTCTCTCACAAGGTGATAATAGTGATTGGATTAGTCATAATTTGC